CAAAAAAAAACTTCCAGTATCTTAAGGTTAACGTTGTGTAGTTGCTCCATTTGTATTTTCCCCATGTCCACCGAGGTTACTTCCCGATACGATGAATGTCACCGTGATAGGCGCTTGTGGGACAGACTGACATACAGCGACTTTATCAGTAAAAACAAACACAAACACTGAGGTTTGTCAGCCTGGCTCAACGGGATTTTACTGTTATCTTTTGATTAGTCTGGTCAGACTCTGGTGGTCTGGAAAATTGAAAATAAACAATATATCATTCCATGCATTGAGGCTAATGTTTTCGTCTGCACTCCCCCTCCCCCAATGGATCGTCCTAAGTGACTTCTTTTTCGACTTTTGACAGGGACTCCCGTTCGTTGAGGGATTTATAACGATACATAAAGTTGGGGTCGATTCTGAAACGGTGACCCATAACTTGATACATTCCAGAGAGGGCATGAACAGTCCTTATTGTGTGACACAAGAACATGTGTAAAACATCCCAGTCTCTAAAATCCGGGTCAGCAAAGACAGCTGCCACTAGCCTCTTGAAAAGGGACAACGGAGTTGACCAGTTGAGATGACCAACATGCTTTGAGGCCGATCAGAAGAAAGGACACAGTCCGCTATGGGTACATGTGGCTGGCAGCATCTAGACACCCTTTTTCCGGCTGTCCATTAAACTTGTTGTTCTCAATGCTTCCCTTACTAGGCCTGTTTGTTCGACCTGTTTCAGTCATTGCCTTCTATGAATGGCATAAGCAGCACACGACGAAGCTTAATGAACAGAACGCCATCCTATAAGTGTGAGAATCAATACACGGAAGTCCTCGAAAACGAAATCGACACGAAAACGGTACTGGGGATTGTGAATTTGCTGAACAGTTAGAGTTGGACACTCCTGGCTAAACAAAAACACAGAAACTGAAAGGCAAAGCAGAAAGGAAACATATATATGCAACGTTCTGGTGTATAGATTCAAGATTGAAATTCCGTGCAGCTGAACCGCACTGGTATATTCAAGATGGCGGCGGCCACGTGACTCAAGTCAAACGCGCGCCATTACGATTTTCACATCAGGTCAGCGAGCCGTCTAGCTGCCAGCTGTTCCTGAATCTAACAGTAAAAGACGAGGCTGTTGTTTCCTCTAACGACTTGGCAAATACATCAGAAGTGCGTGCACACTGCCCATTTATTCTCTTCTGTTGACGAGCCGACGAAAACAAATCGTTAACGTAATGTTGCCATATTTAAACGTACATTCTGCAAAGTAAATTACGAACTCGGCACAGTCTGTCTTAAACATGGGACTATATACATACATGTACGTAAATGCATTGGCCCAATGCCAATAATGACATCTAAATAGCCACGGTATCCACATTCAGGAGATTTAAAACGTCCGAATTAACAACCCTTACTTCCCCGTTAAGATGCAGTATTGATGAGAAAATTGATTCATTTCCAGATCCAAGATTATAATTCCTTCCTTGCGTGGCCTAAAATCAATAGTTGTGATTGTGTTGACTAAAGTTTGACCTAATTTCTCCTTCAAACAGCCAGTACGTCTATGTGTAACGTCTTGGCAGATATCATGGCAAAGGACAACCCGTCGAACCAAAGTCCCCACCTTTTTAGAACCTTTTTAGAACCCGATCATGTTTGATCTGGTACCGGGTAATATTCGGACCCAACGCGTGTTCCGTTTGGGGTCACCTTCGGTCATTTTCAATAACAAGCACAGCCAGGACCTTTTTATGGGATGCTTGGAGTTGGCACAAGGACGCTTGCTGAATACCTTAATGGAATTAATGTGACACAACGAGGACCAAGTCTTAAAGTATTTGGTAAATATTAGAGAACACTTAATAGGCTAGTTCACGAGAGACCCGTCTTTACCAGTTACATAGTTCACATTCCGTTGCTTTGTCTAATGAGTGTGTCTGCTGTGCGTATATAGAGGTTGGGCGGAGCTGTTTTCTGGCCGTTAATGTTAGAGGTCATACTGCAGTGCCAACATGGCGGGGTTCCTCGGTATTTCCCACACACTTGTGACGATCAGCTGTTCTACTCTGCGATGCCATAGGAGGACGGAGCTCGGAGATACAAACCTTTCAGAAGGAACATAACTGTAATTCGATCTCAAGTATAGTGCAGCAAGTGGCACTAGGTTAAATACACCAACCCCCCTTATATGGATGAAGTACTAGTATTGACCTATCAGGATGAAAAACACATTCAGCGTCATGCATGATATTAAAGACTGATGTAAGATGTTGTTTCATTGGTCAGTGGGACGTACCTGTCAGGAGGTAGTGTTGCTTGGGGTTGAGTTTGATGCCGCACGCTGCGCCATCTGGCATGGTGTAGATGTACACCAGGTTGTTCTTCTTGTTGATGAACTCCAGTTTCTCCTTACCCTTGAACACCTGTAACGGAAGCAGGTTATTGTGAGATCAGGGTACCGGAAGTTGCATGCATTCTGGGATAGTCAGTTTCCCATAATCCCTATCGCAAACATGTATTCTTCTACCCCAAGGAGCTCTAATAGATCTCCTTGTGTCCTCTTAACATAGTACCTACCTTTGTGACTCGCAAGGTGTAACGGACCCACTCGATGACGTAGGCTTCCTCCGCCATAGCCCTCATCTCCAGAGGGATTTCGTTCATGGAAGGGTCCAGGTACTCTTCTTCTTCTTCTTCCTTCTCTCCCGTCGTGACGTTCGGCGTCGGACGAACATAGCCGATCTCCTCAACCTTCACGATCTTACCACGAACAGCTGCAACAAAAGCGTAATTCTTACTACACTTTGTGACGGTGCATTCAATTCAGCAAGGAGGATATGGGAAGCACCATAACCTCATTAGATTCAACTATCACCTTCAGCAAGCTGACAACAATAACAGTTTTTCAACTTAAATCGAATTAAGGTAAGGGTAATCAACATAAAGAGATATGACAAGGTCTTTATGTGACTAGACCCCGTATTGATACCAGGCCAAGCTGTTCCCCCTGTCCGCAGAGATCCCAGTAGCTTATATACACTCTACAACGCAGTTGTTTACGTTGGCAGCAGCGCATTGTTTAAAATTAAAACACCGTCTAAAAACATCCGAAAACACGGGTGTCTCGTTTCGACAGGTGCGGCGTCTTCCCACACGTTTAGACTATAGTTTACTCCCGCCCGGTCTAATTAAACTGCAGCGCTGTCTTCCTCAATCTACTCCTGTCGTTTAGTCGGACCTTGTTTCTTCATGTGGTCGACAACTTGACCTTTCAAGTACACAGTTGAACAATTGACCTCCGCCCATCACTCGCCTCCTGTCTATTAATGACATTCCTGGCGTGAACTTCTCTGGTTCAAAGCCAAGATGGCCGGTCAAAGCCACGAGAGGGCCCTGTCTGGGAACCACATGGCGGAAATCCGTCTTGTAAGCCCTGACGTGCGAATATAGTCGCCACACAGCGAAGTGGGAAATCACACTATACGAATGGGACCAGGAAATTTAGCCTCTACCAGGCTTCGGAAGCTTCGAAGTGGCTGAAAAAAGTAGAAATTGACCAAATAGACAGATAACATACCACGGTACATTTGCCGCACCCGAGTGTACACTCCTTTAGCGGACCAACTCCCCTGGCATATGTATCTGTCTATTTGGTCAATTTCTACTCTTTCCAGTCGCCTCCGAGGCCTGGTAGAGGCCACAGGAAATCGTCGTCTGAACCTGGGAGTTTTGCCACGATCGTATGTAACCCGTGTTGTCAGGGTTCCACGTCAAACTTTACGGCTTCGTCTGGCGGGGTCCCGCTCCGCGATGACCAAAACCGGAAGGCCCGACGCCGCTGTTATTCGCACACCATCAAAAAGGTCAAGCTCAGACAAGATGTTTTGTTCCCAGAGAAATACGTGCAGGGAATCTACGAGCTTGTGAGGACTGACGATGGATGTCCGGATAAATCTTAGTCTATAGCCAGGACTACAGAGAATAATACTGAAACGGAAAATTAAAATGTTCTTGTCCCTGAACCCTGTTTAATACAGGAATTCTCTGTTGAGTGAAAAAAAGTCACGACAGAGATCTTAAAAAGTTGTGTTGGATAGATCACGTGACAAGAGCGTGTTATCACGTGACGATCACATGACGAAACTATGTTGTCACGTGACGAGATTATGTTGTCATGGCAGATAACGACCTTGGCGTATCGCGTGTCACGATATGACTGACAGACGAAGGCGACGTAGGTGGTCGGACCGAGGCTGACACCTGTTTGTCACTAGATATGCGACATGAGGCTACAATTACATTTCGCACGCCAACAGTTGGATGTACCATTCCCGTCTTGAAACCTGTAGTTGTCAAAAGCGATTTGGAGTCGCAATAGTAGCCTCCATCAGGCCTTCCTACGCAGGTGCGGATCGTAGAATTGGGCAAAAAAAGGAAGAATAATTGGCCAGTAGCGTCACTCCACGGTAATTCAAAATAGTAGTTATAGGACATACAAGATGAGAGGATCTTGGACACGGGACCAGACATTATGCACGATGTAATATAGAGGCATTGCAACCTTCCTTCAACAAAGACGGGGGCGCCACAGACTTTCTGCCACCTATGAGTCACTGCTAGTCACGATTGTCATCTGCATAACGTGACGTCGCAGAGGCAGTGGATTGCTCATCCATAGACAAAGACTGGAGCTGTACTTTTTAAAATTTGGAAAATTCTTGTTATGAAATTACAGTTCAAACTTCCTAAACATGAGTGGAAAAAAACATGCCAAAATGACGCACAGAAACCTCGTATCTACTTGGAGACTGGTGTCCTGAATAGACCCTACACGAGGACAGGATCGGTCAGATGTCAGCGCCAATCACTGTCTGCACAACTCGACAGCGGGTATCACACCAGCACCGCCTGTTTAAAACGGAGGGCAAGATATGGCCTCCACATGCCATCCATCACACACATATGCAATGACCTCCGGGTCAGGACGGACGGATTTAGGTAATCGCCAAAAATAATTGTCGTCGACATCCGAGCTCGAACGTAAATGTGAGTGTAATTGGCAGTTGGCAGCACTCGGTGGATACATTTTGGTCGAGTTTCCTGTGGGATACCATTGGGTCTACGGCACTGTTGACTCTGCGATATACAACAATATACAGAGAAAGGGGAGACGACACTGGGCACCCTAACGGAACAACTGAGAAACAGTTACTACATCGTTACGCATACTTGCGACATGAGGGACGGAAAGTTCAGGAAGGGTTTGCACTTTTTTCGAGGTGCATAGCGCATGGCCAATGAGGTACTCAGAAAAATGGTTGTCCTGGGCCGGAGGAAGTTTGGAGTCGTGGGAATGTACCTCATTTTCTAACCAAAATTGCCTGATCTGACCAGTTAGCCAGAAGGCTCCCGAGAACTTCAGTTTCGGCTGTCTCATCACGAAGCTCGTATTTTCTGCGAATTCCAGTTTGACAGAGTTCATTTGAGTAGTAGTATTGGAATTCCGATGGCATCCTCGCGGTTTTCATTAAATACCCCCAACCGAGTGTGCCCCATTAACCCCCGCTCCCCTCTGTTGACTGCAAATGTAACCTTCATTTGTTGCAGTTTCAGTTGTAATTCCACTTTATTCCTTGCGGTTTTCATTAGAAAAGTACCCCAACTGAGCGCCCCCTCCCCACTAACAACCTTAACCCTACACTTAACCCAACTTGTCTCGTACGCAGTCCGCTAATTGGCCGTTTCAGATCAAGGACGGTAGCCTCTACCAGGCTTCAGGGACGGCTGGAGAGGGTGAAGTTGTCCAAATAGGCATATAACATACCAGGTAAGTTGGCCGCTAAAGGAGTGCAGTTTAGTCTGAAGGCAAACTGTGCTTCTTTAGTGGACTAACTAACTAACTCAGTGGCCTCTGAAACCCGGTAGAGGTTGATCTAATGGTAAATCTGGCATTCTCGACGTATTTCCTAGGCAATAAAAGTCTGGTAGGCTGTTGGTCACCCAGGTGCCACATTCCGCAGATGTCTCCCCGTATGTTTCCATCAGGATGTTTCTGCTTGACAGGCGTTTATCCTGTCCGTTGCGTGCCAGTCCCGTCCTGCTGTTGACGGTTGTATATATTCACAGTCACGCAGGGCGCACATGTCGGGCCCGGGCGCCTCGTACAACCGCGTCAACGTGTTTTCCCGCGTTGCCTGGACACAGACCCACATTCAGATCCTTTCTCTTACAGTACTGCAGAGTTCCGTATTACTTAATGTCCAAGCAGATACGAATGTGGCAAGGCTGCAACCATTGGCCAAAGGAGTGGTCATTAGCCACCGAGGCGTCCAATCTGCTTGGAGATCTCGATTACATCGATCAAGGAGGTTACGGGCAGACTATGCTGAAATAAATAACTTTTATTGTAACTGTATGCCCAAAAGAGCTAAATATAGGTGGTCCACAACCGGTGGCTATTCAAAGAATGTAAACATTAATGCATTAAACGTTTATGATGTTAGATTATTATTGTTAACGTTTATTTGTTATGACAATCTAGAAGAGGTAGCCATTTTGGGTCATTGGCCTTCGACCTTGTACTCCCAGTATACTATCTATGGGCGTACTGAACGTGAAATGAGGAAGATGCCCCGAAAAGTTGCAATATTGACTAGACGGACAATCGTTTTCAATATGTTGTGGTTTCAAATGCTAAACTGTCTATCTAATGACATGATTGATGAAGCTGTATGAATATCGACTTGGCTGCTCTGTATTGTTTTCGAAGTTTCATTGACAATTTTACTTTTTATTTAAACAAAAGAAACTTTTAGATTTATTCCCTGACGCATCACTGGCGATACAAAACAACATCGTTGGAAAGAAAGGAAAACCGAGAGGTCTGCGAGACAAAATTGGTCATGTCGTCAAGATCCACCCAAAAATAGAAGCAGTCTTGGTAAGACGTGATAAGAAATGAGTCATAACGTTTGTTTGCCCCAGGATGTTTTGAGACCGTCTTAGTAAAAGTCTAAGTTTAGAATGGAAAATCCCCACGCTGGGAGAGTAGTGGGCAGTCGTCGAAAATCTCAACAAACACCGTGTTGTTTCTCGGCGTCCTCTTGTTTGGACAAGACCTCAGAATCATCGTCCTGGGGTCAGTGTCCAAACGGCACGCAGGTCTGAATCACTGAATCAACGTCTGTGATATCACAGATGGCGTGACGTCACTGTAATGGTAGGAATGATACGCGAAGTTTGCTGACGTCACGCGGTGTCCCGTCAGGTCACCTGAGGATGTTTCCCGCCATTTCTCAGAAAGAGACTCTGGCAGTGGAGACCGTGAGGGTCACACGAGATGGCTGAAACTGCCAACGTTACATTTCAAAAAAACCTCACATTATAATTATAATAATAAACAGCGCATTATAATTTCCGCGAAATTTAATCTGTTGTCCAAATCTGGAGATAAAAACCTAGGGCGTTGTCGTTTTGTGGAATCATTGATGATGCATTTGTAAATCTGAGTAAAATTCATTGGGTAATGCTAGGATAAGCTCGTTAGCTCGTTCCTGTTATGCCTGCAACAATAAACCCTGCTAGCTCCAATCGGCTTGATATATGCTTCTTAACTCGACAAATGACAAAGATTACAGAATTCCAGAATGTGTATTAAGTATTGCAGGGACGGCCGACTGCTCAGCAATCTGGATGGCAGGTTGTTACATTGATTACAGACACAAGGGCCTGATTGTGTTAGCTATCAGCTCATGTCTTGTGCATGGTACTGTGTCCTCCACTCACCATAGGGGACCTACATCCAACATAATTGCCAAGGTAATGCCCACAGAATTGAAGTCTCTTGCTCCGTCACACAAGGCTTAACATACCACTGCTGGTCCGAGGGTTGGCAGGCACTGTTATCCTTGGCTTGTCAAAGGTTTATAGAAAAAGCATGCCGAGTCGTGTCTTAGTCTTTTAAAAGGTGCTTTCTTAACCAACGAGAAGAAAGATAAGATGAAAATGCACAAAAGTAAAAAAAAAGTTTTGCACAGTTGATTAAAATATAAGTTGAAAGGAAAATTGTGAAAATGTTGAAAGGAAAAATCATGAAAAGGAAAAAGGCATCGACATTTTTTCACACGCTTCCTGTATACAGTCCCGAAATATAGGTAACCCGTAACTATTCGACGGCTTGTAATGCCTTCCACCATCAAAGCTTGTTTCCAAACCCGGGATTCGAACCCCAAACCCCGGAGCTCTGGAAGGAGACATGCTCCCTTACGTTCTAATCCTTCATCAGTGTTTCGACAACAAGGCTTTCTCGGGTCGTGTTGTCGACGCCTACAGGATACGCGCTAACGTTTGTGTTTCCAAAACACGACTCTTGTGTTCTCAGTGTGTATGTACGTGTGATCCCCGTCGCAGGGGGTCATGCTCACGCCAATCGCGGCGCCAGTTTAGTTAACTCGATCAAAGCCAGTTTGTAGAGAATACATACAGATAAAGCCTCCTATACTTGGAACTGTAAATCTACTTGTTTTGTAACCTACTCTGACTCATCTGTTTCTTTGCTGACACTTTGGTGAAGGCATTGGTAGTGCTGTATGGACAATTTTACATCCGCCAGTGTCGCAACTAGTTTGAAAGACTCGTCATCTTTTTACTACTTTTGGCCGAATTGCTCCGCATATCCTTTTTATGGAAGAACAACCAAACTAAAATGGACCATACGGTAGTTGACCCTTAAAACTAAGGGTACACCATGTATCAAACGATATGTAAACCACTCTACTTGGGTTTAATGGACGCCCGAGCAGCGTTTCATCTCTGATCTCCATACTCCTTAAATGACTGGATGATAGGATGATTGGATTGACTTTTCTCAGGCCGCATCCCCATCACTTCCCCTGAGTGGTAGACAGTTTGGCATGGCTTGCCAGGGTTGAACCAGACCCAGATTTGAGGGATATATTTGACAGTCTGCCCGGGCACTGACCTATTTCCAATTTTCACAACAACAAGCATGTTTCGGGTGTCCTGCCAAATGTGTCAACGTTTCTCTCTTTGGGACAAAAGGCAGAATCTAGGTGGACTGGAACACCGCGAAATCCTGTTAACGTGACCGGAGAAAGCCCCGCTGTCTCTCAGAGACGTTCTTTGTGAGAAAACCTGCCCACGTCGAACGGTAGATTAACTCCCCGCGTCCCAGTAGCGCCGTGTCAAGGTCCTGAAAACAAGAGCATTAAGACTGGGGCAGTTGTCGCGGTGCCAGCCAGGGGTTGGGATGTTATGGCTGTCAACACGGCTCGGTGCGAGAGAGATGCTCCGGCCTGCGACCGTGGCGCTTCGCCCGCGATCGTCTGGAATCGAGCTAGGGCTTGGCAGCGGACATAGCGGGTCGATTCCTGGCCACGTAGAAACGATAGCGAGCCAAGGGGTGGAGGAAATGTGGTTAGAAATTTGAGACAAAGACGGCAAAGCAGTTGCCCAAAGTCATCCATGACGATTGCTAAATACAGTATTGATTGAGTAAAGATGTAGTAGGAAATGCGTATAGTCTATGCCTGCGACGCGGCTTATTTCCCCGAAAGAATCCGCTTCAGTCACGTCCACGAAGGGAAAATCTGTTCCTCCGGTCAAGTTTGTTTGGACAGAGATGGCGGCCGGCAACAACCTCTGCGACGTGTTTTAACAGAAGCGTACTAACCCAACATTTCACATGAGAACCGTGGCCCGGAGGTCCTGCATGGCGTCCGTCGGTTCCGGGACTGCCCCGCCATGTGGCTTAAAGGCACACACAGGACAGTAAAACTGCATTTTCAAAGTCAATTTTCTGGTCGTTTACTTAGAGCATAGTAGTAAGTTGATTCAACCCTTTCTCATAGCACACTGATATCTGTCAGGCGAAACTGCGATGTCGCTGACGACGGAAAACGGTTGCTGCTTGTTTCGTATCGTGGCTTGTTCTAGCTATTTATTGGGGGTACCAAAAATAAATGACAATGATGACGTAAAATGTGTAGAAAAAATGGCAGGAAATATCAATATAATAGAGATTTCTACATCCGGGATATTTTTGGGGGATTGCCGCCCTGGACTTTGTTGCATTCGGGCTTCATCGACATCGACATTGGTGTTGACAGACTATAAAAGTAGCCTTCATACCAGGCTTCTTGGCAGGGCTCTGATTACACCCTGTTTCTGATATATACAATGCAATTAGACAACAGCACACGGAAAAAAGACCAAGGTAAAAGACCTGCTGTGTAGGCTACTATAAAATCGCAAAGATGTCGAAGTCTCCTTTTTGGGTGGGGCTGAACTTGTACATGACACGTCACAATTCTTTTTAATTGGAATATTAGAACCAACTGTGTGACGTGAGTGATTTACTGGGTATGGATGTCGTTCAAGGCCAGAGGAAGATACAGGCCACTGATCCTTCCTGTTCAGAACAACTGTCTCTCACTACACACGGTGCCGCTCGTTCCTACACTATGGGAAAGGGAAGTCCAGGCTCTCAGAGTCTGTAGACGCCGCGAACTCCGAAAGGCTTACAGCCGTTCCGCTGCGGATACAAGTCGTGGCCGGTGGCTGAAAGCTATGTGGCGAACCCGCGCGAAAATGTTGGTCCCTGTCTGCGGCTACAGACTCTCAGTCTCTCTCCACATGTGTGGAATAACCCGATAAACGGTGGGGTTATTTTTAACAGTTGGGAACTTAAGAGACTCAGAACCACGACGGGGTCTAACTATAGACCCTGCAGTGTTTCATGCCGCGGTGTATACTCGCTTCGTTATTTGGATAATCTTAGAGTTAGCCACAACTTAAACTGAGACCGGGAGAGAGTATAACCCCGCCACGCCACATGTACAATATACCTATTCCGTATAGGACGCCTACACAGCGTTACCAAGCAACCGATAAAATATCAGTCAGTTTCATATACACATCATCGGCGCATCTACAAATCATATACACATGTAATGTTTACTTGAACTAATCCCAGGCCTGGCAAACACCAACAGTATATTTTCTGGACTCGGAAACATTGGTAGGCGTAGCCTCCTCAAACAGCAAGTGAACCAGAGCGTATAAATTTTCAATTGGAGTTTTTCGAATTCCGTCGTATCTCGAAAACGACGAATAAGGGTAGGTCGTTGAGAGAGTTGAGTCTCGGGTCCATGTTGTTGATATGTTCTACTGTAAACACTCGGTGGACCTCCGGTGGTGTTGTGTATGTGAAGTGTCCTGTAGACCCTGTAGCCTGCTTGTCCCCCATATGTGATGGCATCTCAACTATTGGCATGCGGAGCGGGGCAGGGCCTATAGGCCGAGCTATGTCATTCTCATGTACGATCCAGATACCTCTCCACTAGCACTGGCCGTTCGGGGGTTCAGCTAGCGCTCTAGGAACATTGCAGACGTTTCGGTCTTGTACTTTCTCGGGGTTTCAAGTTTGAAGAATTAGAAGTCTATATATTGTATCTGCAGAACGTGTAGTAGAGTGCATAAACAAAACCACCGACTCCGCCGCTGATACTGTACTTAAAATAGTTATGACAATGTAGATCTATGGTGCACTTACCGACTCCTGCATTACAGTAGATGGTCTGTGGATGCGCCGGCATACACGTACATGCCAGGCCGCCGTGGACCGCCGCCGCCAACGTCAGAAACAGAACCGCCCAAACACGCGCCATGGGTACTGGTCTATGTCCGTACAACCCACACGTAACGTTAGTCTGCAGAACACTTGACACACACTCACGCAGCTAAGCACAGCGAGTGAGCCCGGACTCTGAATGACTGCCTCCCCCGCACGCACGCTCACTTGCCGCTTCTTAAACTCCTTGGCGCAGGAACCTCTCCGCGCTAGTCATGTTCGGAAAATTTGTTGATGAAACCCACATGGTCTGGCCGATTTCCGCACGGCGGTGGTGTGGCTTCGCGCCAGGCTCTTCCACTTTCGTAACCGGTGTGTACTTAGCGCCGCCTCTTCTCACGAGTGGAATCGTCCAATGCCCCACCCTCGAGCCGGGACGACCCATTTTACATGGAATCTACAGGTGTTAAATCGTTAAAAGTAAAATAGATATAAACCAAATTCAGGTTTAACGTGTATTCTGCCTTTTGCTTGATAGTAATCCATATGATAATCTAATATTGCCCGACCCTGTGATGTTTTGGCGGTATAATACTATGTACTGTATATATTCCTAACGGACGGTCCCTGTTTGTAAACGTCGTGCGTTATGAGCCTGTGACGTTGGTAACTTTGGTACCACGCCTATCAAAACCGGCAAAATAATAACTTTTTTCCATGAAACCGAATGCCTTAGTCATGCTTTATTTCAAACGGGCAGACACGCGTATTTGCACATTGCCTTCGTCATTTTCTTCCGTCTGTCTCGGAAAAGTAAAGAAGCAGAGAGGAGACTCATCTAGTTTACTTTTATCAACTCGGTGTAAACTTGCCCTGCCTTTCATAGACCGGGGAAAGAAATGAAAGAACACGCTCTAATCATCTATCTCCGGCATGTTCGATTTTAACGAGGGAACCATTTCTTCCGTGCGGAAGTGTGATAGCAGTTAATAGTCCTATTGGTTGATGATTACTCCGTCTATTGTAATATTCCTCCGCCGAGATGCTGGTTCTCAGAAGTTCCGTCGAAGTAATAGAAAGTGACGTCCTGACCCTGTATCATACCTGATACTCGCATCTGCACTGAGCGCGCGGAGAGGTGCCGAGGTACAAACTACACATAAACACCGGGGCCAGATGTAAAATAAATGGAAAACTGGACATCTTTTCTTTGGAAATTTGCCAGGGTAGAGAGGTATGCGGTTCGGGCAAGTTTCCAAGCTTGCTTGCAGGGGGGTACAAGAATAGGAGATTTGAAACCGCGACTGTGGGCGTCAAGAGCATTGTAGACCACTTCCCTTACGTAATAAAGGGGGGGGGGGCTGTCAGACGGTAAATACAAGTCTGGCTATGTTCCCATTCTTTAGGTCTGTTGCAACGCGCAATGCAAACTTGAAACGGAGACAAGTCTGCCCATGAATTTGTTTACAGCTACAACGTAACGCAATGTTCACTATGCTAAGGACCTGACTGTTTAAAGAGCAGTTAAAACTAATCGAAATGTACCGTGCGAATTTCTCAATTAAGTGATAATGTGAGAGGAAAATATATGCCCTGTAGTTACCACCTCGTTTGACTAGGCAGGTTTTCACTTATTGTAGCAGCGGGATAGCCTCTACCAGGCTTCGGGTAGCGGCTGGAGTAGTACTAAGTGTACTTCATGCCGCTTTTTTTATTTACTCCTTAGCGTACCAACTCCCTCGGCAAACCGTCTATTTGGACAAATTCTACTTCTTCCAGCCACTTCCCGAAGCCTGGTAGATAGAGGCTAGCCGCCATAGCCTTGGGGTGATTCTGTAGATAGCCAAGTCATGGGGCGTGGCGATGGGCGGGAGGGCGGTGGCCTTGTGGTCGCTTCCTCAACAAGGCGTTTACTTAATTTGGACATGTTGAGTCACACTGACTTGCCTGTCAGATGGCGGGTTACAAATGTATCGTGTGTTTTGCACGTCAATCTTGCGTTCTCTGGACATCGCCTGAGAAACCGGACCGCGGGAGTCCAGGGGAGGTCGGCAGAAGCGGCCTCGGGTCAGTGGAGAGGGCACCGCCTGGACAACACGGTTCTACATGGAGAACACGGGATGTCCGATATTGTGTACATCGTACCAAAAAGCCGTGTCCTGCAAAGGCTAAGGCCTAGGCCTAGGAAAATTAATGTTGTGTTTCTTCCTTGTTTTTCCCCTTTTTTCAGGTTACTCTTTTTTTTGTAGATTTCGGATAAATGATCCACCAAATAAAAACGATAAATAAAGTTTAACAATGTTGCTTGTGGACAAATATTTCACCCAATATTCTGAAATTTGCTTAAATGCGTTAAATCACGTTTCAGAATTCAGAAGGAAAATCTTATAGCCTTATCTTATAGTGGTGGGATTTTGCTAGGGTTGGTCTGGTACCCAGACACAACATTTTCCCTCGACCTGACGGTCGCTTCCATCTGCAAAAATCTCACCCCGGCTGCGGGGGCACACGGGCCTCGAAACCGGCGGTATTTGTGGTGGTCACGGTGGGTGGGGTGGCCGTGCCCTGGGCCCTTCCCCTTTTCTTGTAACTCAGGCGGGGGTTCTACGCACAAAGAAATCAGACAAAACGTCAGCGGGAAAACCAAATATAGATGTATGCGCATTTCCTGTATTCTGAAGGATGAAAGTATCCGATTCAATCAGGATAAAGCGTTCATTTACGTTATCAGTCAGCTGGATCTAAAAGTCGTCTCGGCAGCATCAGACATTTCGACCCGCCTCTTCCTTTTCAACATGACGGCACACTTTAACTAGAATTCCGAGATCTCATACCTCCATGAAATATGATCTTGATATGTAAATGTAAATTTCTTCTTTAATTGTTCAAATGACCTCTGCATTAACATGATATATGCATCGTGGTGTATGTTAACTTTTGATTAACTTACAGATGTCCCAAGTATGACATTCTCATCATTCACCATTACGAAATCATAGAATTTTTACATTAATTATGCAAATTAGGTCATCATTTGCATAATTAGTATCTGTTGAAGTTCCGCCTGCCATAGGTTACATAGTATAATGTAAAACACTGTAATTATAGAATTTCCTCATTAATTATGCAAATAAAGTCCTCATTTGCATAATTTACATTTAATTATGTACATCTCTCTCTCAGCTACCTACACACCAAAAATAATGAAAATATGTTGTTCCTGTCTGGACTTATTGGCTTTTAAACATTTCGCCAGAAAGTGCCCTGCAGTTCCAGAACAAGCCGCTAGGGGGCCCAAACTCAAATGACTTCTTCCCAAGCACGAGAGCTACCTTCCATCAAAATTTCATGACCCTAGCATGTCCAGATCGAGAGATATCAAAACCGGAAGTTGTGCTGCAGTACCAAGGGAAGCCACTAGGGGGACCAAAATCTCATCATTTCCAGTTTTCGTCACACCCTACCAACACACCAAGTATGAAACCCATTCATCCAGGCGTTCTTGAGTTATCTTGTTGACCAACAGACAGACGGACGGACGGACGGACGGACGGACGGACGGACAGATAAACGCAACTGAAAATATAACCTCCATGACACATTTCATGGAGGTAATAAGAAACTTTTTATCCCAGCGGGAATCAAAGAGAATGCTGGATAGTTTTAGAGGATTACCAAATATCACTGAAGACGACTTCTCGGAAAGCGCATATGCTTGAATAGTCACTTCTCTACTCAGTAGCCATTGATAGTATTAAGATACAGATTATTTTCTTCAATATCGCACTGGATCATTAATTCACCATGTCAGGTATCACGATTCTATCTTGAAGCTTATAAAGTACAAATTGGTTTTTCTTTCTTTCTTTCTTTGCGCTAGACCGCAATAGCATGACTCAGCAGAATACTGCATTTCTTAGAGGACACCCAAAACAGACCAATTCAAAAGTGCATGTTCACTTAAACGTCCTTCCAAAACACGAGTGGTCGTTGTAGGTAATTAACACGCCTGTGTTTCTCTCAACTCTCTTAAGGGGATTTAAGTGAGCGACTTAAGCGTCTCTTCAGGGTGTTCCAAGTGTCAACAGGTCGCCAGCAGTCACGGGAAAAATGGTCGGCACGCCACTCGAGGGTCCCGACAAAATGCCCATGACCGCCGCTCGCGAGTCTATGAAGCGATAGAGGTGGGCCGAGTGTGTGACAGAAGCCAGGCGGCCTGTCAGGGACAGGAGACGGCACTCATGTCTTATCGTCATGTGGGCAAACAGGGCTGTCTGAAACCGCAGGGTGGCACTTCAGCCGCCATGACACATCAACAAACATGGCGGACATACCTGCAAATAAACATGGCAGCCAAATATAAAACGGATGCTAACATTCGATCATAAAGAATGATTCATTCTAGATTCTATATCCATTCATCTACATTTTCTGTATTGGCAGTCTAGAAAACGACTGATACGTCCCGTGTGTTTGTACGAAAATATCTGAGCATGTGAAATGTACTTGATAATGCCAAGGACAAGTAAGACTGAACATTATATATATAGTCATGGCCATCAGGGTATCAATCTTAGGTTACAAATCCTGCGCCATGTGATCATAGCTGCATATTTTACAGTATAACAACACGCATTCCTCGAGCGCATCAATCCAGCGAAAAAGCGTAAGCACTCCTGCCCTTGGATACATATCGCCGCGGTTAAGACTAAACAATGCGTTAATCATGGCTTTACTGTGGTTAACCTGGGGTCACGGGTTCGTTTGGCAGTCTGAGGGGCAGACTGGAGGGGCAAATTAGAGAAACCGGATTACAATTATAAACGGAACGAAAAAAAATACTCTCAAGGCGTGATCACTGCATTCGTCTTACGACTGAAGTGACTTTCTTAACGATATTGTGAGATTTTCAGTGAGGCTACGGTAGAACCGTTCATCTTATGATAACCCTTTTCGTTCCAAATTATCTGAATTTCCTACACTGCACATCTAGGACCCCATGGATACTTTCAATGTTCTGTCGTAAGCTTTACTCTCCAGGCAGATGCCTTGAGGGCTGCAAGACAGTATCAAATTAGCCGGGCAGTATCCATTTGCCATCCGTTTCTGACGTGAAAGCCCTAAAACATGTCAAAACGTAGTTAAAGTACGTACATCAAAAAGTACGTAGATTCATCATATGACGAATGGCCGCAGTGATCCTATCGTTGAAGAGCGTAGCCCATGTGTTTCGGACTCAGTTCGTACATTTCGTGCCGATTACCCCTCATGACAGAATCAGTCGCAGGCCGAGATTATCCGGTTGGGTGCGCCGTGTAGTGTGAGCGATGAGTGATGGAGCACCAAACACTGCCGTAACCCGCTGTCACGGCAGGACGGGGGTTTGTTTTTATGTCGGGACAGGAATGCGCGGGAAATGTACACAGAGTGCAGTAGCCACCTGCTACTGAACCACGGGGTGGATGGATGTCGTCATAATACACGCGCTTCTCTCATCTCAAGGCAGATCCTAAGGCAATACCCATTGGGCAAGTAGTGACCAGGAGCCACAGTGGAACCAGAGCTAAATATATTTGTGTAGTGTTTGTGTGTGTATGCGCGAAGTATTTCTTATCTAGTGTACTAACTATTTAATGAATTCTTTTAAATACAACGAAATGTATCAGTATAACGGTCGCTTTGCGTTGAGGGGTCGACATATTTTCTCGCAGTGCATATACATGTATTCAAGGACATTATGGAATATATAACTACATGTATATAATATCCTTGATGCGAAAGTACACGGAATTGTATACCAACAGAAAATAAAGTTCGGTCTGTCAGAATGCAAGGGAATTACTGGAATGGATGTCAACAAGTGGCAAGGGCAGTGTGCAGACAGTCTTAATCAATATTCGACTTTGGCCGAGAAATAGTGTAACCAGATATCTCGTTAATTCATACCTTCTGGCGGAATCTTATGAGGCTTAGAGTTAACGGTTTCTCTACATTAATGTTAACATTTCTGGCGCTGACTTCAAATGAACCTCACGGGTACAGCCAGGTTCAAATGGACAGAGCCAGCGACAAGGGTTGTAATGAAGTCGGCTATTTCCGGCCGAGCTTTGCAAGTTTGTTAAGATACCATACGGTCTTGCTTATACATCATTATCAACGGACACTAATCAGTAGATAAGCCGTGGCCGCACGCTGTGGGAGCCGGGATGGAACTAGACATTCCCGGCATTATCAGACGGCTGGCCGTGGCCGTGGTCCTGGGGAATGCCGACTGGCGGTCACTTCTAACGGCCGTGCGCCAGGCCAGGAAAACAACTCAGTTGACATAATTTTCACTTCCATACTAACTGATGTGGGGTAGAGTGGGTTCCCTGTGATCAATGTATATACAATCTTTATTGACACAACAAAAGTATGAACAAATCAACATGTTGTGTTTGACGTATCACTACGTATACTACTAAAGTCGAAACATTCTTGTATATGTGGCTACGTAGTAACTGAAGGGGGTAGAGCGGGTCCCCATAACATATAGCCATATCGTGATGGCCATAACATATCGCCGTAAAACAAACCTTGGACACTGTCCAGCGCACGGCTATGTTTTATCGTTTGGAAGTGGCGGTGGGCAGTTTTTCATTCATTCAATTTGTAGTAAAACAGAGTCCCCCGCCAAGAGAGTGCGCCGAGAAATGGCCGACTTCCAACAGCAGAAACCAGTGCCAAAAGCCAACACGTACATTTGTATGGGCCATACTTTCCGTGACTCCCACCGGTATGTTGGTAACTTTCCAATCGCTCTTTATCACGATCAAATCTGCAGTCGTGTACAGTCTATAAAAGCAGGCGAATTTGAACCAAATCCCGGTTTGTTATGCGTTGATACCTTTTGAGTGAAGAGACCTGTTTGCATTCGGGAGGTCGCAGGTCCAAAACATACCAAAGAGAAATTATAGAGTGTATGGCAGTTGAAAACACACCACTACCTGTAGATCAGCCACATACAGTTGTGCTTGGTCGAAGGTTAATTACCAGCTTATACACCACAAGGTGTGAGGACGATATATACGTTGGTATACAGTGATATGTTTTTGTCACTTGAAAGATTCGATATAACCTTGTCAGGGGCTTACAAGGAATCACTTCTGCCTGAAAGGCATTTCCACCTCCGCCTCTTCAGTCACAGAGAGGATATTGGGCCTGGCATCTAACACGGTTTTGCTGGACGCGCTTGAATTCTGACCCGTAGATATTTGAAAAATGTATCTTCAAACGCAGTCAGAAGCAGACACAAAACATGATGAATACTAGGACGTTTGCGGAGGGATTTTTGTCCATGACCTGCACACCTTATGGCTGTAGGAAATTAATTACGAGCAGCTGCGGTATCCTCCTGGAGAATGTAAGAACAGGAAATTACACCTATAAAACTATCCTTTTTGTGTCTTAACGGCCATTCTAGATGTAAATAGACCTATTTGGGAAAGTTCAATGGCCTTTTAAGCCCATTATGAATAAATTGAATCAGCCCTAATCACCTATCAAAGGTTTAAAGTACATCGTGGCTGACCTTCCAGCGTCCTGTGGCGTCCCTGACTTGAAAAGATGCTGACTCTGGCAACTTAGTCTCACGCTAACCGGAACCAGACGACGAGACACCGGTTAGAAACGTGCCCTTGTTATATCACACCTGAAACTTATCTCTTTATGTCCGTGAGTGATTTCATCCGGCAGACAAAAGACTGTATCTTTAGTTGTTTTTTTGTTTGTTTGTTTTTTTTTGTTTAAGAACCAGATGGTGATCGCTTGTCACCTTCTTTATGGCAACATTGACTGCTCCTGATTTGAGTACGAATCAGAATCCGTCATTGTTACAAGAAACTCTGTGTTTCTTTCGAACAGGTCATTGAACTTGGAGCAATATTTTCCTTTAAATCTTTAATACGAGTAGGTTTTAAGACGAGTAGACTCTTAGGTATTACACTTTACCTGTGATGTAGCGACATCTCTTTCTATAAGCACCCCTCCCACTGTGACCCCGTCAGTAATCTTTAGCCCACATGGAGACGGAGGAGCTTTGTCTGACACGCGGGGTCGAGGATCGGATAGACATTCCAAATACTCCATCAGCGCTCTTGAACCTCCGCCCAAGGGCCTGCATTTCTTGGCAAAGAGGGTCTGGCTCTTTTCATTCTCTAAATCACCTCCTGACGTTTTTTGGTTATCAAAAGTGAACTTGCAGGGTATTCTCAGTATGCCACGCACATAGATATATGAGGAGTGGTGACTGAGCGCCAATTGCCAAGGTATCTTTGTGTATATAAAAACAGATCTTTCATTCGCGTTTTTAGAATTAAATCACCTAGTGTTTTCTCTGATAGTGCCTGAAACTGGAGTGTAGCCTTTGTGTAGCTTTTGCAGTTTCCGTCTTTCCTGTTTTCATTTGTAGCGCTCTTGTCTGAGATGATCTATGTCTGTTGCGGCGTCTTCTCGTTGTCTAGAGCTGTCCGTCCAGCTTTGTGTGCGTCGCTTGAGTTAGAATAGCTCTATGTGGTCTTGCACTATGTGCTGCTTTATTACCGTAGTTTAGATCGTCTGCAGCTGCGTCAATTTGTCCTAAGTGCTATAAATGTCTGATATATATGGATATAGATCTAGAACGTATTTCACAATTCGCTTAAAGCATAATACATTAGAACCTTGTGTGTTCGTGAAAAAAGACGGGAGCAATATAAAGATTGGACAGTTTGTTACATCCTCGATTTAAACTCGGACTTGGTTTTGAGAAACCGACTGGTAAATTCTACAGAACCGATCAAGACGCGTACGTCTATCTCTTCGTGCGCAATGTCAACATGGCGTCATCTCCCTTCCTTAGGATAAAAATGCTTTGCCCGAGTGGCAATGAATCAACAGGTTGTACAAATAATATCGAACAGAGAAAGGAAAGCAAGTCATCACGCCAAGGCTGCGCAGAAACAACGGAGGGGTTTGACCGTTTGTCATCAGAAGAGATCGCCATCAGAAGGGAAATTGACCAACATACCGCCTATGCTAACTTCATGATCTTCTATGTTCTTTCAGCTGATCACCCCCAAGTTTCCAGTGGTGGTGAAGATTGGGCATGCGCATGCAGGACTTGGTAAGGTAAGGACGAAATAGTTTTTATCTACATGCCGTGACTCCACTTTCACAACAAGATCTGATTTAATCAGTCGTGTTCTAAATTTATGGGATAGGGGTGGTTGCTTAAAATAGCTTCACCTGGTTGGAAAGTCGTTTGTAAAGTCAAGTTTCTTTAAAAGAACGGACTTTTTTTACCTGCCAACGTTTCGGCAGTATGATCAGCTGCCTTCTTCGGGAATCAATTAACTCTGCTAGTGCCTGCCGCAAGTTGGTGCTGTGACAGGTATGTTCCAAACACAGGTGAAGGTAGAAAATGGCCATGATTTCCAGCACCAGTGTTGTAGCAGTAGCTACCACGTGTCTGTTTGTTTGTTTGTTTGTTTATTGATTTCTCTGTTCACTTGATGCAGGTGAAGGTAGAGAACCACCATGACTTCCAGGACATCGCCAGTGTTGTAGCTGTAGCCAACACGTACGCCACCACAGAGCCATTCATCGACGCCAAGCACGACATCCGGGTACAGAAGATCGGCAATAACTACAAGGCTTACATGTGAGTCAGGCCGGACTGACTTGTGCAACGTCTATGACGTTGTTCGTTTTTATTTTCTTTGATTGCACATGAAAAATATTCACGCAACTGGATAGATTTTTAAAAACTGCCAGATGTTTTAAGTAACATCCAGTACCTTTTGCTGTTGACTAACGGAATCTGTAGTTGGACAGCTATTTGTCCAAAAAACATGAATGAAGTCTTTGTGTGCGTATGTATGTGTGTCACCCAATGCCTCACCGGGTTGTGTATGGGCTGTTTTTTTTTTCATCGGTATATCATGCAATTGACAACAGCTGACTTCTGCCTCTTTTTGTCATTTTTTTTCTAAAATAGGCGAACTTCAATTTCTGGCAACTGGAAGGCCAACACAGGATCGGCCATGTTGGAACAGATTCCCATGACGGAAAAGTGAGTGTCACGTGTCGCGATTTATTTACAGTATACCATGTGCAGCTGCTAACTAATTTACTATACGATTCACATAATGTCACCTGTAGAACGAACAGAAAGCCTGAAGGTTTTACAGTATTTACAATTCTTAACGTTTTCGTGTCAGTTGCAGTAGGCTTTAGTTACAGTCGTGTTGGATTTCGTGCACTCAATTGTGACGTGCGCCTGCCAGAACAGAAACAAAAGACAAGTCAGGAATGGCGCACAATCATAAACTCGCTGATACTGTATAACACCAGACTAAGCCTGGACCACAATCCTGTTATCCCCATGGAATGTACGAAATGTAACCCCGGACGGGTTGTCAATGTTCCTGCTCTAGGTACAGAGTCTGGGTTGACGCCGTCAGTGAGATTTTCGGCGGACTCGACATCTGCGCAGTGGAGGCCATCCATGGCAAGGACGGCAAGGATTACATCATCGAGGTTTGTTAGTTTGTTGGTTGGTTGGTTGGTCTATTTATTTTTTGTAGACGAAATAGGTGTTGAGACCACTTTTCCGTTAATACTTACCATTGGTGATAAAGAAGGCTTAAACATCGGTGGTACGGATTTCATTGCTGAAGAGAATAGTGTATCGAAGCCTAAGGCCACTTTTGCCGATTTTTTTTTTAATTCATCAGATCAGTCTCATACCAGAGTTTTCATACCACCTGATCCGGTCTCACCAAGGAGTTTTTCTTTTGATTCGTCTGATCAGTCTCACACCGGAGTTTTTACATCACCTGATCCATTCTCACTGCACCGCGAAGTTTGCAGATCTTTTAAAACTTGTCTGATCAGTCTAGATCTCACACTGGAGTTTTCACATCACCTGATTAAGTCTCACCTAGGAGTTTGTACCACCCCCCTCCCACAGGTGAATGACTCCACGATGCCTCTCCTGGGCGAGAACCAAGAGGAGGACCGGCAGCTGATCTCTGACGTGGTGTTACAGCGGATGACGCAGGTGTGCAGAGCTGGTGCCTCCGCCGCCCAAAACATAAAGTGGGTACCCGTCACGGTAATCTAGACGTTTCATGTGTCTTGTGATTTCAGTAAGCTGTGAAGTCTGGCAGGTTTTTGGTCAGAAACCACTTTTGCGAATTTCTGTATCTGATAACCACCCATCCACGTAACACTCCAGCTTTTGTAGTGTACAACCAAGGTTTGAAACTGTCTGAAACCAGCCTGAGGTCCATCTCCGCTCTCGTTTTCGTGCACGTTCATGTGCACGTTCACGAGAGCACATTTTGAAATGGCACCTGTTGTCTAAAATGAGTCAATACTCATGGATAACATCTAATACAAATAGTAGATAAATAAATAAGAAGAGCAAAAGCCTCTGGGCAAAACCTGCAAAGTCTTCACTGTCATCTACTAGCTTTGTGGATTGTGCCAGTTTGTGACGCATGTTTCCTTTCCATCTCCTGCCTCTCCTATCTCTCTCCTCTCTTCTCCATAGTGCACGGCTCCGTCCAGCAGACAGCCGTCGCTTTTTTCAGGATCCTCTAACCGTACAGAATCCCAATTCTGTGTTGTAGGCTCCACCTAATTGTTGTTCCCATCGCCCCATCTTCCAGAGCTGTTGCGCCATCTTGAGACAACGCTTGGTATTACACCCTCCGCCCTCGTCACGTCACACTCGTAATCGGAGTTGTGTTGTGGAAGGTTGGTGGGTAATTAAAACCAGCTACCATAACGAACATTATTCCAAACTAGTAAGGGGAACATGAGTTCTGGATAGGCTCATGCCTATTCTAGATACAAAGAACGTTTGGCTGAATTATCCAGATCCAAAAGATACAAAACGCTGCACTCCATTAAGATTCCACTAGAAACAAGCAAACGCCGAATTAAAAAGTAGTCTCCAGGATGGCCATACAGAGGAAGAAATCATATCTCATATGTCAGCCGTGAAGATATCCCAACCTCCCCCTCCCGCTATGTGTTCCACTATGAATCAGTTTGCGGTTCCTGTCGTTCGGAGACGGCTGGAAGGTAACAACTGAGTTGGCAGTAAGGCGATGAATGTTGTTGTTGTCTTGAACGTAGCACGCTTAATGCTGGCACGCCGGGAATGCAGAAAAACTAACCACCAACACTCAGACACGCCAGCAACACTTCTCTCTCATGGCATGACTTCTGCCACAGCCGGGCCTGAAACGTTCTTTTGCAATGCCGATTCAGGCCGCTAGTTGACCGCCAAGACGAATGTTTGTCTGCCTAAACCATACATCACAGGAAGATCAGAAAGTTCTTTGTTTACGATTTTTGTATTTGTGAAGTTTGATTTTGTGTTGCTTGTCTTTTTTGTTGTGTGTAACATGTGTGTGCATATATCACGATTTGCATGATGCAAAGCAACATGCACGTGTTGAAATATTTTATCTCTCTCCCAAACGACTTTTTGATAAAACGATAAATAATAAGTCAGTTGTACAAAATCACACCCCAAAATTCTATGACGTAACTTCTGTGATCTGTACCACTTAGCCCCCACAATGCGTGGCGTCGTGTGCTCGTCATGAGGTAAGTTACGTCATCAAGTAAGTCACGTGACTCTAATTAAGCGCGCAACGCCTTGTGGGTGTCACTGGTACAACCCACAAAAGTTATGAAGTGTTTTGTACGATCTACCTTACATACATTTCACAGGAAACAACCCGTGTGAGAAATATAGAACCTGCTGTATCACCGTGGCTATACATGGTACCACTGAGAACCGCAATGCGTGGCGCACTTACGTTTTTATTTTCAGTAGAATACTGTAGTATTTTGATCGTTTTTATAAATATTAGTTTGCATTGTGGTTTTCAATGGTGCATAGAGAGATGGACTATAGCCAGCAGTATTCGGCATGTTGCATGTTACTTGCTTGAGTTTTTTTCTATTTACGCTACATTTTCACAGCTGTATTATCATAAGCACATATAACATTCTGTTTTCACACTAGTCAGTCTAATGGTGAAACTTAGATGTAGATCAGTAGACGGTTTAGGTCAGTTTCCTTCTTTCTTCCTCTGTCGCTTTTCCTGTCTCTCATGCAGTTCTCTCTGTTTCTCTCACAATTTCCTACTTTCTGTCTATTTTCCCCCATGTACTTCTTTCTCTCCATTCAACATTTCTTTCTTCCGCCAGCGGTTTGTCCACAGATGCGGAGACAGAAGAGCCGCAAACTTATGCGTATGTTCCATTCCACAATTCAGTACAACACGCGTAGACAGGCACAAGTACCCATCACATATATCTATAAGGGACAAAGTTAGGTACTGTATACTGTTTGATCTGCCAGAAGCCCTAGCCTAAGCTGCAAATCCAAGTATCTGCGTTACAATATTTGTAAACTAGTAGAAATCTACTACACATACACATACACATGATACATGTATCTCTGTAGCTTTATACGGGTTTCGAGTCCATTTGTCTCGATGATGTCAAGTTGTTCGAGTGAGAAAAAAAATCATCCACGGAGATATACAAAGACATGGTACAACTTGTAGTGGCTCAGAAAGAGCCCATTGCATGCTGGGAGACTTGGGGCACTGTGGATAGGGCAGGGGGTAAGCAATGTCATTTCCATGACAACGCGCATGCGTGTCCTGTATGCGGTCCGGTCTATGTTGTCATGGTAATGGTGTTGTTTGCCCCCTATTCTACCCATAGTGCCCTGCGTCTCCCAGCATGCAATGAGATCCGTCTGAAGGGTCTACGCTAGGTAAGGTGGACGTTCCGTGGAATTATGCTTAGTGTTATAACTTCAGCCTGTTGTTTGAATGCTAGTTCTGCTAGTGCCCAGTGTTTACAGGTAATACTATGGTGCTGTACATATTTGACTTCGGAACCAGACTTTTTCAAGTTCTAACATACAGACATTATAATACTATCATTAATAACATCATATAGACTCATCCACCATCGCAAAGCTAAACCATATTTGCTAACGAAGCCCCATACTTAATTTACCACCCCCATTAGCAATCTTAGATTGGTTAATTAATTACTTGGTTAATTACTTCCTAAATGCCATTTTATTCTCACGCAGACCAGCTACCGTCTATGTTGGGCAATTGATAAATTGTGTTTTTCACTTCAGACATTTCAGAACAAGCTTCGTTACTGTGGCAATGTTCGCCCAACATTCCTTGCGACTCTTATCAATTTAGCTCCCACAGAAACACTAATTAAATTGTTTTTTACTTTTTGCTACGAGAAATGTACATTGATGACCCGGTAACTAGTCTATCATAAGCTTGGCCGGAATTCCTCGGTACGCGGAGTGTCGGCCTACCGCCTGGGTCATTAAACACTCTCCGATTAATTTTGCCTTCTATGTGATCATGATTTACCGTGTTGATAGGCCCCGACGTTCGGCCAACGCACCCAGTACCGTAGAAACTCAGCCAACCTCACGAAAGATAACCATAGTCTCTACCAGGCTCCAGAAGCGGCTGGAAAGAGTGGAGATTGGCCAAATATACAGATAACATGCCAGCTAGTTGGTCCGCTAAGGGAGTAGAGCGTCTGAGTGTACTTCTTTAGCAGATTCCCTTGGCATCTGTCTATTTGGCCAATTCCTTCTCTTCCCTGCCTGGTAGAGGCTATGGTAGCCAGGTTAACGTGTTAATTTCCTATCTGCTCAACACATAATAATCGTCTATTTGACAAAGCGGTTTGCAAGGTATGTTGGGGTGTACATAAATGCCGTGTTCTCCTTGCTAAGCATGTTTGAATGTCCGTCTAACTTGCAGCAAGTCGATGACAGGCTTCCTGAACCTGGGCGGCAGTGCGTCCGCGCCTCCTTCGGCGTCTTCCTCGCACAGCACCCTTCCGGGCGCCCAGGCAGGGCCGGGGGCGGGGCCACCGCAGGCGGACGAGGATCAGGCCGAGAGCATTCGCAAGCTCCGCAAGGCTTTTTCGGGAATCTTCGGAGAGCCCTAGCGGCTGCGGGGAACAAGCCGGACCTGGTTGCAAATCTTTGGTCTTTCTAGGCATGAATCGCTGAACAGTTCCAACGACGACTGCTGCTAAAACATCACATTTCATCATCAGTGCTAGGACCTAAAACACCCCACATCACCGAAACAAAGGTCACAAACGGATGTACATTTCCTAAGACAAAGAAGAAGAAAAGGATTAGATATTTTAGAGAACGTCGATCGTTGTAACTATCTGTGATGGCTCTTAAGATTTGATTTGTCTGAATAAGTATCTTCCATATTGCGTCTAATTTTATGAAAATTTATCTGATAGATTTAGACTAAGACAGGATACGTGTTACGTTCATTTTAGTAGTAGTAAATCTAGGCGCGGTGTCGATTCGCGAGTTTTAAACCAATCCTGTAGTAACAAAAGAGTCACGGTTGAATCCCTGCAAAGTGCCTGCTCAGATCAAAGATTTCCCGAGAAATGGCCTCCTTTAGCGGTACTATTTAGTCCCATTTCAATGAACCTCATAACGTACTCTTATTGAAAGAAAAAGATGTAGTGTTCGACTTTCAGAGAATTATGCAAATGCCCTGAAATGAATCTAGAGGGAATGTGTATTAGATGTTTGAGCGCAGCCCCCACTCTTTGTAGCTGTGCATTGAATGTGCATTGAGTGTTTAGAGTCATGTGCTTTGTGGTTACCATTTTGTACGTTAGTGGTCGTAAGCATTTTCGATGTCGCTATTTGGCAAACACAAAAATGACAAATGAACGTAATGTTCTATTGATACATAGTTATGTAACCATTCTATGTATTTGATTTTTAGACAGAAGCGTTTAGTTCTATTCCTTTACGACAAGCGCAAGAAAGCGCAAGACGATAGATCTCTTTACATTCTGATGCTGTCAATATAGCTGTAAACGTCACAGTCGGAGTGCACGTCATAACCAGTGCGACATTCGCACAGGGTCCATTCGCACTGTATGGATAGAAATACCCTACCTCATTTGTTTAGAATGAACGTGAGCACCCGATAGACCCTCCCTAGGAAAAAAATCTCACAAAAGAAAGCATAATAGTGCATGAATTTTCAGTGAATCAAGTGTGATCTTACGTCACCATAACTATGTACATACATTTGTACATGTTTATTCATAAATGGCGGACAGACGCTCCTTCGAGTATTCCTTTATTCATAATACCACCACAGCTGTATTGCTTGGCATCTTTCACAATTTAGCTCACCTTATGATGAATATTAGACGGCTCCTAAGGAATTATGGCATAGCAATAGCGTAGTGATGTTCCATTTATTACACGGATTGAGAGAGGCGTAAACGAAGAGACACATTGTTCTGTAAACTAAAATGGAAAACAAGCTCTATGTGCTTATGTGTGATGATAGGAATATGACAGACGTTGTAAGATTGTGTTACTTGCAACTGTAAACATTGTTTGGTGTCATATGTTGTTGTGCTTCCCGAGAAGTGGTGCAAAGTCTTTCTTCTTTCTGTTTATCTTCCATTTGGGTCAGCTGAAATGTATTTCCACCCCACCCCATTGTCTACCCGATGGGGCGACCCGAATCGCATAGCAACAACAACGAGTATCATATTTTAGAAAACAACAAGTTTTAGCCCAAATTTCTGCCCATGTGCAATCAGCCATAGTATTTATGTCTGTACATAATACATAATACATACACAAATTGAATGTAACCATAATTATATTAATAGCGAAAGGCCATTTTGTTGACGAGACGAATTCTAACAAAATGTCCTTAGAAACATTGTGTCAAAGTTGTTTTTCTGGAGTCTTTGTAGCTTTGTGTGAATAGGCCTTTGTTGAAAAAAATCTAGGCAATTTGATCGACAGTTTGTACATAATATAAGTAAGGTATGCATATTACAATGTCAACAATACTTCTCATGTACTCTGCCACATGTCTGCGGCTATGTTATGTTATGTTTCTGTCAATATGATAGTTATTAGGCATCTCGTAGTAGAGCATTTTATTTATTTTGCTCTTAACTAGAAACATTCTATTATGTAGAATGCTCAGTACGAGAGTCATTGTGTATATCCTCACCAAGTTGTTATGATGTGGCTACTTTAAAAAAAGAAATAGATAGGCTACGTGTGTGGCTCTACGGTAAGGAAAATGAACCTGATGTCGCTGCAATAGGGCCGTAGCTTGCTTGCAAAAGGCAATCATGTAGAAGAGAAGAATTACAACCTTCCTGTGGCTGGTGCTTGATGACGGCTGACTGGCGTGGGAAGACAACAGTTGGTGTAATTCTACACAATTCCGCCAGGAAGCGCAGTTCCCAACTCAATTGCAAATGTCTGACTAGGACTACGTGTTTGTTGTGCGTGGCTCATGCATATATGTGTATCCTTCGAATGATTACGTGGTAGAAGAATATCTTAATCCCAAGTTCTGAGAAATGATGTGAGAACGATGTACCTACATCCGCGGTTCTATGCAGTACGCTCATGTTGTAAGTATGATGATGATGTCAACCATTGCATTTTGTACTTCTGGTACGTGTGATTATAGAAGTGTATTTCGTTCCGTACTTTGTGTATTTGGAGTTCGGTGCATGCGGGTAACTGATGGTCGTATGCATCTAGTTTATGGTCACGTTGTCATATACATATGCATATATATAAATATATGAAATGGCTATGGCTGAAATCTCTCCGCGGGTACAGAATAATTATCTACCACACGAATAAAGATGGAATTAAAATAAAAAAAATACGTCATGCTTAATATGTTGTGTGCCATTCATACTTTACTCATGCTTATAATACCACTAGCTTGTCTAAAATCTGTGCAAAAATTAGCTGCAAAACTACACTGCCATAATACATTCCAAAGTTACGTGGCAATTAACCATGACAATACAGCCTGCCTACATTTGAGCAAGCGTTATGGCTATTACATTCATAGCGTTAAAAAGGGGCTGACCAAGACTTTCTTAGAGCGAAAAGCCAAGACGGGTTTAAATTGTTTTGGTACATTTTATGCCCATGGCATGCAGCAATTGATAGAATTGATAAAGACGTGGCATGTTACATATAACAGCTCGATTTAAAGTTTATTCACGACACAGATCTTCTGACGTTCTGCTTGTCGCGACTTTAGCGGAGTAGGCGATAACTGCAGTCTATTTGACGTTAGGACTGAAAACGGCCCAGTGTTCCCCTACAGTGCCGTCTCCACATACAGCTTGTAGTCTCTCTGTCCCCGGCGTAAAGGTGAGGCCGCGCCTGCGTCACTCCCGAGAGTCTTTGCGAGAATCAGGATCTTCAAGCGGTGCAGTCCGTACGTCAGGAGATGGAAAAATGGCGTCGCCACGAACACCATCAGCACCATGTACACTACAGCCATCTTAAGGTTGCCTTCAAAATCCCAGAGCTTGTACAGAACAATTTCTCCGCTCTTTCCCGTCCCCCCTGCGGCCCAGTAGATCACGTAGAACGCGGAATACGCCATCGCAAAGGCTACCGGGTACACCATGTGGAAGACTCTAACGGGCGTTCCGCTCACAAATAGGTCTAACAGAGCTAAGACTGAGTTCAGTATGTGTTCGTTAATACTGGTAGCTACCAACTCTCTCTTGTCGAATGCCCAATACAGTGTCGTGACGAGAAAGGCCATGGTTATGGAGGTGCTGTGTAAGACCCAGTGTACCTTGTGGTACCAATTTAGACTGTTCGGCGCCACGTTTTCGTCTCTTGTTGCTTCAGCCGAGAACTCGGTATAGTCTGACCTGCAGTACACCGCTGCAGACACGGCCATGGCCACGACCGTGTGTAAGGTGAGGACGGAAAAGCACCAGTTGTTGAGGTAGACCGGCCATTTGGTCCAGCCGTCGGTTATGTAGAAGTGACACAGGAGATACATCAGTATGGTGACCGCCACAAGGGCCATAAGGATCCGGTACAGAACGAAGGCAACTTGGCCGCTACACCACTGGAAAAACAACAAAAACAACATATAGGATATTTCAGATTTCCGGAAGGTATGGAATCCATTCAGCCTCTACCAGGCTTCAGAAGCGGCTGGGAAGAGTCGAAATTTGCCAAATAGACAGATAATATGCCAGGGGAGTTGTTGGTACATTAAAAACATTCTGTCTAAATTATCTAAATTAGTGTCTATAACTAATCTACACCCAGAGGTCAGGGTCAGTGTTCACACATGTACACTAGGGAGTTCCAGACCTTCCAAGTCTCATCTCCAAGCTGATCCTACGGTGGCAAGACAGTGTCCGACATTGGCCACCTTGGGTGGCTTGGTTGGCTAATGGACACTCCTCTGTCCGCGCCGCTCGACATTGGCCACCTTGGGTGGCTTGGTTGGCTAATGGACACTCCTCTGTCCGCGCCGATGGACACTGTCTTGCCACCGTAGGATCTGCTTGGAGATACAGTTCTACCTACCGGAGATCGGGAGAAGACGGAGCGGTCATGGTAGCGGAGTCGGGGGGAGCACTCGTCACGGCAGGGAGACATGGTAGTGACTGTGGCTGTGGCCTCGCCGGTTCCCACGTGTTCGTCCTTGGTCACAGAATCTATGCCACGTCCTCCAGGGGTTAGGCGTGGTGGGAGTGACTCAAGGTTCACAACAGAAGAGGTTGGTGACACGAGATATCGCCTAAGGCAAGAGACAATCCCATTTTGACTGCTCGTACACAATGCAATTGCAGGTTACCCTGGAACTGTCCCCAATAAAGGACTATATTGTCCGAAAACTGGGCGAGGGGACAAAATGGCAAAAAATCCACTTAAACGTGGAAAACAAATCTCATAGGTATTTATTTGTTTGGAAATTAGAGGCAAAACCGTGGTTACATTTCCATATGTACACCAGTAAATTATATTCTTCAAGACCTGGCCATATCAGCGACAAGCGGTAAAATGCTACGTGACATTTTGATAATACATATTTAAATTTTCCGAGTTAATTGGATTCTACAGTAGCTACCACAACCGTAGCAACACTAATATTTGTTGCACCACCACCACCTTGATATATACGTTTGACTCTGTTTTTGTTTTAAGTAAGAAATATACGTTTAAGAAGATGTCGTGCCATATCCTACCTCTCTCGCTCGGTGCCACCTTATAAGTCTAGCGACACTACCGGTGTCCTTCAAACAATATCATTCGACCTCGTAGACGTATACTTTTTGAACGCGTTGGCATCGTAGTAATTGGACTAGTCCATTCAGTTAAGGATGGTAGACGCAAAGTGTTAAGCGTGTTCTTCTCTGTGTCACATGCGTTACAGTTTTTACAAGAATTCTGTTAAGCTGGTCAGACGGAAACTGTGACTGCCATATAATATTTGGAGATAGTAAATGAATTGCTATACAATCTTCTTCTCTGTCACCCCCGTGATCTAGAAGTGGACTAGTCCTGAAAGACGTGTCTGCCGACATGTTCGCCTGATCAGGTTAGGTTGGTGACGTCAAACGTTTGTTCCAGTTGATTCACTATAGTTAAACAAATTACGGAGAAGGGTAACATTACACAAAGGATTACGTATATAGTCTGTTCGATAATTGAGGATGTGCGTCCACCTCGATCTTTAGCGAGTGTGTCAGAAACAAAGGGAAAATTGTCGCGCGGACGACGCCTTTTTGTAGTCGTGATTGAAACCTGACTAGAATTGAAAATATAGGCAGACGGGTACGTGTTGCGGATAACTCCGGTACTGCACATATAATGGCGATCCAGACGTCGTGGGTTCGAATCCCGGGACTCGGCACTGGAAGGGGCTTTAGTTCAGCGATCAGATAGTCCTCAGAGAGAATGAGACGATTCCACGTCAAACCCCTGCACGTTAAAGGCATCCAATGCAATTTCAGGGCGGCAAAACTGGAAATATTCTGAATAAGGCAATCTGTATGATATTAACACTTAATGCCCCACATTAGCACATTTAAATCAGTATTTCTTACTTTAGGCATTTATAACTTCAGAAACAAGCCCCAAGATTAGATCTTTATTTTCTGGGTGGTACCCTAAAAATCAATCCAGGTCCTTCCAGTAACCGTTTTTCGGCATTTCTGCTCCATGAATGTCGATGTACACTGGAACAGGGTTGTTTCAACTTAGTATGTAGATAAGTGAATGTTGACTTTGAAAAATCCCGGTGAGTTTGGCTAAATTATTTGGAACATTACAGGCTCATGATTCTCTCCCGAGTACGTGATTTTGATTTTTTTTTTTACTATAGTTAGTTCTCTATCTTCTTTCAGAGAAGAACTTTCAAGCTTATTTTGAAGAATGGCATCAGATACGAGCAATGACAGTCAGTAATGATGCGATAGATAGTATACATTCAATGGCTCTTCATTTATTACTTTACCAGATGTTTTCCACACAGCTTAACTTTGTTGATGTTTCTCATCATCAGTCACATGTTTTATCAGAGCCTTTTCTCTATGTATTTCACTGAAACAACTAAATAAAAGTCCATTGCAATATTACATTGTCGGCTGAAAGATACACCTGCTAAACAAGCCCGGGCAATAATTTTAGCCATTTATTGTTTACATAATTATAGTTTCCCTGTTCATTTCAGTTCTGTGATAAGAAATTCTTTAAAGCCAGCGTCATTATTATCACACATCTACAACTGCCCTAAGAAGCGAGAAGAAGTTGAACCTGTACATACTAGTTCATATCAGTCTGTATAGTTGTAGTAGAATATCACTGTAATTTTTACTTCTGCTTTATCTCGATGACATGCACTTCATTCATTCAACATTATTTTCATTTTAACCCATAGAATTCCAACATTGGTAAATTGATTTCAAGTACCTTGGTCACTGTCACTGATCCGGTCCAATGAGCATATGTTGAATCTACATTGTCTTGATATTTAAATTCTTTCTTTGGTCTCAATAGATAAAATTATAGTTATAATTGTTAAATTTATTATTGCTATTAGTATCCTTGTTACAATTAAGTTATTCTGCTGATATGTATTTTTTTTGTTAGGTCCTTGTGTTATCTCCATTTGGTCAGAGAGTTTAAAAGGACACTCCTGTATTTTCTTGGTCTTTTACATGTATGTAAAAAGTTGAAATAAATAGATATAATGAGGAACGTTTACAACAAATGTCACCAATTCAATTGGATAAATTACACATATAAGCAACAATGGTCCCTTTTTGAAAATGTTGAATGTGGACTCTTTCATAATTCTTCACAATTGATATTTCAAACTCTACATCACAATGACAACATTATGTGCCTAACATATTTCTTACGTTTCCTATGGAATGCAATAGTAATATGATATTGAATATTCTTTCTTACAATTATTTGTTTTTGATCTTCACACAGTTGTTCTATAATTTCTGTAATCGCAAATCATTTCCTTCTTTCTAAAAATTATGAATTAAAACACAAGTGCAAAAGCATTTAGATTCCTCCAATAACAGGTTCTCAAGTCTCATCTTAAAAGTCATGGACGTCACTGATCCTGTTGCTTTCTGGGAGGCAGGGAGAATTATGGGTAGCAGATGAAAAACAGCATCATTACCATGAAAACGTAGTATCGACCAAACATTTCTGCAGCCTGACTACATAATAGAAATTGGCCAAATAATTAAAGAGGATATTTTGTCGGACACTCCTATAGCCAATTCTTCTGACACCCAGCATTCAACACCTCCCAGCACTCAACTGCACCCAAGGGTCTATGCAAACAAGATTGATAAAAATTGCCAAGAGGCAAATAAATTAAAGCTTGCGCATTCAGCTTGCTTTTTTGGATTTCTGACATGTTGTCAAGTTTGCATTTGTTGATTTTTTTGTTGTTGTTTTGACACAAAATCAATTTGAACGATCAACTTCCATTTGATATCTTATTTTCACCCCTCAGTGGCGTGTTTGCGGGTTCCTGCAGTGACTTGGCATATGAAACCCATTTCGTCTGTGCAGGATGCGTCGTTCCACTTGTCTGTGAAGTCCGGCTTCGAGTAGGCGCCATAGTGCACGCAGTCCTCGCGGCCGAAAGCGTCGTTTGGTTCTTTCGGAGCCCACGACTTGAAGTGTCGATAGCGGAGAGGGGTGCCATCAACCCACTCAAAGCGCCCTTCTTTGCGCCGATCGCTCAAGCCGATCCAGTAGTGCAGGCCGTTCTTCACGGTGTTCTTGAGATCGATGAGGAAGCGGTTGGTCTCACGGTCTTGGGGCATGGCAAGGGTGCCGCCATCTCGCAGACAGGCCTTGACCGAGTCGCGGAAGATCTTGAGCGTGACGAACGCCTTATAGCAGATTCCACGCCGCTCGGTATAATCAGATGGACAAGGCCCTGGCAAGAAGATAGGCTTAGAGATACATCGTTATCATACCATACGGTCGTGATGGCGTGATATGTACATGTATATACATACATATACATGCATACATATATATACATAATTCACTTTATGTTCACGGTAGAAAAATTTCAGTCTGAGAAAAAAGGAAATTTTCACGAAACTATATGTCACGGTTACTAGTTTTAGGTGGCGACAGGTGCAGGAAAAAGAAAGTCCAGGATTTATTTGTTAGCTGTATTGATAAGTTCACTGTACACAAGTGACAATACAGTGAAAAAATCAGGAATTACAGTACACATATACATTCAAAATGGCCACAGTTTCGGTATAGGTGAGGCATTGTATATATTTGCAATTACTTTTGTTTATGCAGTATAACGTTATATATGGTCTTCAATGTAACAACAATCCCCAAGCAGATTTTCTGCGACAAGGGGAGAATATTGGCCGCCCGTAACCAGCTAGCCCCCGTAGAATATGCCACAAGACGCACTAGCGCTTACTGGTTACAGGCGGCAGATAGGCTCCCCTTGCCCCCGAGAATCTGCTTGGAGATTAGGGTAGCAAGAGTTTGTGTTAACTGTGGTTAGTGCCTAAGTGTTATCTTTCAACCGGTTAACCATATGGAAGGGGTGCACATATTCCTCACCTGCGCTCTGTCTGGATGTTGGAGGGTGTCCTGGTGGTCCGACAAATCCAGGACCAGCTGGTGCCATGCGGCTATCCATACCGGGAGGTCCAGGTGGGCCAGGAACCCCTTCAGGACCAGCTGGTCCAGTGGGCCCCTGTTGTCCCGGAAGTCCGGGCGGACCAGGAGGGCCAGGAACCCCAGAACCAGCTGGTCCAATGGGCCCCTGTTTGCCTTGACGTCCGGGTGGGCCAGGAGGGCCAGGAAACGCAGGGCCAGCTGGTCCAGTGGGCCCCTTTTGTCCCAGACGTCCAGGAGGACCGGTAAACCCATGGCCAGCTGGCCCCATTTCCCCCTTTTCACCCTGACATCCTGGAGGGCCACGACGACCAGGAGACCCGCGACCAGCTGGCCCCATGACCCCCTTTTGTCCTGGAGAGCCTGGTGGGCCACATGGACCGGGTGGGCCAGGAGGTCCGGGTGGGCCTCGAGGGCCCAACTCCATACCAGCTGGCCCCATGGACCCCTTTGGTCCTGCAGGTCCGGGCGGGCCACGAGCGCCAGTAAACCCATGACCAGCTGGCCTCGTTACTGATCCTAGAGGGCCAGGGCGACCGGTAAACCCAGAACCAGGTGGTCCCATGGGTCCTTTCATTCCAGGAGGTCCGGGCGGGCCAGGGGGTCCGAGCAACCCATGACCAGGTGCTCCCATGGGACCCTTTTCCCCTGGACGTCCGGGTGGACCGGGTGGTCCAGAACCAGCTGGCCCCATGGGCCCCTTCCTTCCGCGTGGGCCACTAGGGCCGACAGACCCAAGACCAGCTGGCCCAATGGGCCCTTTTTCACCTGGACGTCCGTCCTTTCCTTTTGGGCCAACTGGCCCTATGGGCCCAGGTTGTCCAGGAGGGCCAGGGACACCTGGCGAAAACGTGAAACGGTGGTTTTGGTGACAAGAAGACGAAAAATCTAAAACACAAAATCTGAAAGTGATACATTGTATATAATAAATTCACTAAATCCTTGTCCTGATTATTGGTTAAACCCTAGAAAGAAAGATAGATAGCTAAACTTAGATAGATACATGTAGATAAATAAATAGATAGATGGATAGATACATGTAGATAAATAAATAGATAGATGGATAGATACATGTAGATAAATGAATAGATAGATGGATAGAAACATGTAGATAAATAAATAGATGAATGGATAGATAGATAGATAGATAGATAGATAGATACTATAGTAGATAGATAGATAGATAGATAGATAGATAGATAGATAGATAGATAGATAGATAGACGTAGATAGATAGATAGATAGATAGATAGATAGATAGATAGATAGATAGATAGATGGATGGATAGATAGATAGATAGATAGACGTAGATAGATACGTTGCAACAGATAACTTACGTGCCAGTAGCTCAATCGTCCTGATACGGGTTTGAAGCTCGCCCACCTCCCCAAAAACTTCAGCAAGTTTGACTGTGTTAAAAAAATGACAATGATCTTTGTTACCCACGATCCTGCCCAGAATCATTCTAAAAACTGAAACATTTTTCCAGGTTCTACATTTAATCTGATAAAAATGTCTTCCAAACAATTGAGATCTCACACTCTTCATTCTTATTTCATAATCCATGCATGTATTATACGATGACAAGGAAAACTAACCGGCATAAAATGGCACAAGGATGATGATGACCACAATGACGACAGGCCCCGAGACTCGCCACAACTGCTTGCACAAACCGCTGAACATTGACTCAGTGGGCGGATCGTACGCAGCTGTTTTAACGAGAATATTCATATTCAAACTACATCAGGCTACGTAAGGCAGGATTTAATGCATATTTTATTGCACGTATGTAACACCGTCAGCTATACAAGAGCCAGATTTGACCGAGAATGGAATATTGTCATATCTAGCTGGGCTGGAGCTGCCCAGAGCTCCCTAACCTGCCTCAACCGAGTTCAACACCGCTAACAAAATCTTGTTGGGAGTGACCTGTTCACCACCTTACAACCACTCTCACATAGGCGTTATGTTGCAAGCCTGGCGTTGTTTTATTGCTATTTCCAAGGTAAATGCTCCTCGGAATTTCACTCGCTAGTCCCTCCATTTCCAACTTTCTCAGCAATGACACGTTTGCCACTTCTACTGAAGCAAATCACCCTTTCTTCCTCCATACACCACCTCTTGGGATGAAGTTCCACGCTGAAAGCTTCTTTGTTTTGCGGTGAATATGAAAATAAAATACTTCGTTTGTCCAGCTTTGTTCTAACTGGCTATAGCCAAGAGTTTGAAGCTGTCATACCTCCATGAAATATTAGCGCCTTTGCTGGAATTTTTTGTATCATCTCATTCGTTATGGAAATAAGGATATGATTGGCATAATTCATGGTCTTTTTTGCTCAAAAATATCATCGCAATCCAGCTACACCCCTTTTCACACACACACACACACACACACACACACACACACACACACACAGATACATACACAGATACACACACACAAACACACACACACACACACAGTTACAAAAGATATACACACCACCTCCTAGATATTAGTTAAATGAGTCATATATAGGTATAATACTATAGTGTAATATAATATAATATGGTTGCAGATCGTTTTACACAGTCTCTCGATGAATATACATTCCAGGGACCAGTTTAAAGGCTCTGATTGTTTCAGAACATCAAAGGTACCCAAACAGAGATTGTCTGTACTTCGGGTCTTGTGACCCACGTGATGGCGACGTTTGTGAGACAAAGGAGGTTTATCCTTAGTGAGACGGGCCCCTGTGTGAGAAAACCATGTAGAGATCTAGAGCACCGTGTCCTTTCCGGAATTTATACCTCAAGCAATCCCGACAGGCAAGATAACAAACAAGACCGTGACTAGGCCAAAAAGCAGTAACTCAAGCAAATGGATATGATTTTGGAAACGGTCAGACGTTTCAGGTAGTATCCACTACCTTTCGTCAGTGACTCAGTGAAAGGTAGTGGATACTACCTGGAACGACTGACCGTTTCTAAAATCATATCCAGTTGCTTGAGTTACTGCTTTTTGGCGTATCTCATTACATTGTACCTGGATTTCTAACCTTCATCGACGTAAGACCGTGACTAGTCTGGAAATTTCTAAAATGTCTAGCCAGGATCTTAACACTTGCATACACGTCTACTCTGGTATAAAACTTTACCCTTCCTATATTATAACCTGTCGACGTCAGTATACATCCTTACAAGATACTCCTTTTTGAACCTCCTTGGGGTAACACAAGTACGGCAAACCGTTAGGCTCAGCACCCCAGTTTTTACAATATACTTTAGTACAAAATGCCTAAGACCTGGCTATAAGGTTTCAACCACTCACACCAGGAAGGACAGCTATTCTTTTTGATGTGTGGTGGGATCTTAAACGTACTGGAGGTGTGCTTCACAAAAAACACAATACCTCCACTTGACGCCCCATCCGAGAGGACGTCGATAACCAAAGTTAGGTACTCATATTTAGATGAGTCGACTGGGGAAATGGGTGTAGATATAAATAAGAGTCTTACCAGCCTTGTCAGTCCGCGGCCGCGGCGGCCCTCCCGACATGATGCCGCTTGTCAGGTCTCTACAACCGCACGTCTTACGCCAGGCAGGGACACGGGCGTCTGACACCAGAGACGGCGTTTCTTGAGCTAGACACGCCCCAAGACCCACGTCAGCATATATACTGATGTGGCGATATGAAGAAAACATCAAAGGAAAACATATTGGATGAATAATTTAAGGCTTTAACATTTATACCGTCGAGACAAATCATATGAAGCTGTTTTCGACGAGAAATGTTGAAAACAAGTTATGAAACATAACATACCGATGGAGTCACTGACTGGGTGGTTTGCTTGTCAGTGATTTTTATTGCATACATTTATACATGCTTACGTAAGAGAAAAAAGAACTTTCTAGAATATAGAAACTTCTCTCTGTCCGTTTGGTTTAGAAACATCTAGCAAATTATTGTTTTCTTGACAACTTTTTAATGAGGTGATGATGCAGTCAGTCCAACTTTTAGCCCATAACCCTAGCCTCTCCCAGGCTTGAGGAGGCGGCTGGAAAGAGTAGAAATCGGCCAAATAGATGGATACGCATGCCAAGGGAGTTTGTCCGTTGAGAGAACAGTTCGCCGCCTCCCCAAGCCTGGTAGAGGCTACCATAACCCCCCCCCCCCCACACACACACACACACCTCCATTAGTACATGTATATGTATTAAGCCTTTGGCCAACAGCAAATGGGCGCCACTGTATTTTTTACGTTGTATGACTATATCTGTCCTTTCTGGTGTGTTTTGAATACTAATAGGCCCACGTGCACCTTCTACTGATCTCGCGCTGTTAGATTGTTTGCCTTTGAAGTATTTCTTATTGGTCTGGGAGTGATTTGAGGTAGTAGAAACATACCGCGTTTCACAAGGCCTGCATTGGATTGTCGACGTCTGAAAAAGCCAACATCTAATCTCTCATGCACTCATTCACTCTCTCTCTCTCTCTCTGTCTGTCTCGCTCACTCACTTACTCACTCACTCACTCACTCTGTATACGTGTATTGTGTTAGGACATAATTCCCCTTAAATTGGAAGCATGCGCAACCAAAACTGTCATGAAAAATACGCTGTAGATGGAGCCATTTGTAAGATTTATTTTGTCTTCATAAAGCTATGTCTTATAAAAACTGGAAAAAGTACAATTCAAAGTTATTCCATCTATTACATAAAATGTATCAATATGTACACGCAGAAATGGTGAATCGTCATATATGTATTATACTATCAATTTTTTTTCACACACAGCAACATCATCTTTCCATCATATCTATATAGTTCATTATTATAGCACAAGTATGTACATTTTTATTGATGTTACGTAATGATTTAATCTAACATGTCAATATGTAGCTTCTATCATACCTCGGAAGCCACTTGAAAGAGTAGAAACTGGCCAAATTGACAGATAGCATGCCAGGGAGTTGGACGGCAAAAGCGCGGCAAACTGTACTCCTTCAGCGGACCAACACCCTGGCATGTTATCTGTCTACTAGTATGTGGCCAATCTGTTTACTAGTATTGACAGATTTTCAGATCATTAGTGAGTGCAATGTATACTACACTCGTCTGTCTGGAGTCATGTTACAAACATATTACACTGTAAAGCCTATCAACACCTTAACATTACCTACACTTACACAAACATTAACAACCTACTAGTATACTGATCAACCAACAATATTGTTGAAAGTAAAAACTAAAATTGAAGATTGAAGATGAGATTTCTGCTCTTTCCAGCCGCTTCCGAAGCCTGGTAGAGGCTATACATTATAGTCATTAGAATATCTGATCTATGCCGGAGCTGTTTGAGAGAGTTCCTGGACGGTGACCGTTACGGGAGTGGCGGCGGGCGTCCACGCGTTTTGCACCGCCGGCGGCGGCGGTCTGTCCGGCACGTGCCAGCTCAGGCAGTCACCCACGTGCAAGTCTCGCGCCCGCCGAAGTCCCGTGAGACTTCCCGTGGGCACGTCGTTCAGCGACCTGCTCCTGATGCGGCCCGTCCTGTTGAGGTAGTCGTGTGACACGTAGTCCGGCCCGGCGGACCTCAGCCTCACGCCCGTGTTCATGTCCGTCAGCACCTCGGTGTTGGGCTGCCCGTGGCTGTGCGCGAAGCTGTACGTCGTCGTCTGTAGCTGAGACAGAGAGCTGCTCGGCCGCCGGGTCGCGCCCGCCACCAGGATCTGTGGGACGTCCTCCCGGGTGCCCCTCCGGCACAGCACCGCGGACTTGGTGAAGTCTTGTCGGTACGTGGACGCGTTGGGCCCGCCACGGTGGATCTCGTCTCGGTGCGGGATCCAGTGTATAAAATCCGTCTTGAAGCCCGTTAAGTTCGGATTCTTAGGTTTCTTCAGTCCACAACCCTGTGAATTAAAGAGAAAAACAATTACATTTATTGTGTCTCATTGGAGAAAAACACTTTTTCGACTCATGGAAGCTGGTCCGAAGCTGATGTGTTACGCCGAGGTGCGGTTATACCGGCTATACAGATACAGATAGATACTCCATATAAAACTCGTAGCCTGGGTGCCAGACTATTGTCGGGGCCAGCATACAGCTACACTAGCTCCTCGGTTCCAAGGCCAACCAGTTCCCAAGGAAATTTAGGCACTCCTCAGTTAAACACTGAACAGGGTCTGACTGTGGGCTGGACTGTGGGCTAGCCTATGTACGGGCCTGAGAAAAGTCTGGCATGTGAGCTAACAAATATGTTGCTACTGACATTTCTAGTTCATGTTAATCTCATACCCGACCGTACACATAGTTTCCTGAATGTAAAATCACGCTTGTTTCTAACAGACTATGTAGATTTCTTTGAGACGCCCTTCGTGACTGGTAAGTTAGCCTACTGACCGCTGTAGCTATATGGTAGCCGTCGTTGACGAATGCGTTTTTGTTGTCGTGATGTGAGAACGTGTGTGTCGTCGGCCGCTCCTGTAGAAAGTACATTTCAGTAAGTAACGAAGGTCAAATATCCAGCTTAAACAGTTACCATGATATTCAAAACACAAGAAACACACACGCTAAAACAGTTGGTCCTTTGATTAAACGCCCTCATCCTCCACAAACTATACGATCTATCTGCACAACATCTACTACTTTTTAGCCGGCTTTTGGGTCTAGATCTGGTGAATATGCACGCACCCTTATCCGCGTGATGAACTTGCTCGGCGGCTGAGGTCTCGCCCTGCGACGGAACTCCTGTAAGAAGTCGTTTCTTGACTTGCTCCGGAAGTGGCCGTGGTAGCCTGTGGGAAACTACAAAGACGAAAAGAACACGTCAAACAACATGATATCGAAGTTATAGAATTGCCATCCAATAGAACTACAAGTCAATAGAAACACAGGTTTCTGCTGTTCTGTATGATCTGAAGGCACAGCTGCATTTGTCGTACGTTTTTTGTTGCTGTCGTACTTAGTATGACAGAACAAACCGTCGACGAAGACCTACGGCTACGACAGTCTTTACCTCGCTGTGCCCTACGCGGCACAGCGACGCCTAGCGTAGTTCAGAATCACTGCACCAAGCACATCGACTACATTCATACTGTATGTCAGGGTAGACCGGTAGAGACTCCCGATCTGGCAGAATCGGAAATTCTACGGCGTTAGTGATCCCAATCGGAGTCTCTCTCAACAGAAACTTGGGGTTTATTTCGGTAGAATTGCCACGAGAAATCCTGATTGGAGTCTGTAAATTTTATCCACGAAAGAAGACAATCATAACTTTTTTCAACTTTGATTCGTGTCACTTTATGTCAATGGATTGACTTGAAATTTACGATTAATTTGTAAATTTGTTAACAGCATCCTGCTAGGATTCGAAGTCTCAATGGACAAAGGCTCCTATCGGGATCTCTACCGGCGATTCTATTAGATTGGAGTCTCTACAAGTAGACATATATTCTATAGCTAGTTTGCTAAGAGTACTCATGTTATAGTCATCCTGGAAAAATGACCTTGGTTCAATCTGTGCCCTAATCCCCTGGGAAATCGCGTTAATTACATTTTGACAGTAAGACTGCGGTCCCACGTAACTTACAACATTTACTGTAACTCTCTGCGTGAACAAAAGAGACAAACTAACACACCTGTGGCGTTACCCGGCAACCTGGCAACTAACGAGTGGTTAGGCACAAAGGTCGGAAGGTCAGACATGTCAAGTTGCTAAAGGCAGCCATGTTGTACAAACTAGGACATTATGTGACAATGTGTGGGTTTTAATCAACAATAGACGTAGTGTTAATTGCTGGCATTAGGTGCTGAATACGAAGGTGTCACAGGGACAATATGGCTTATGTCACAGATCTAGTGATATAGGTCATTTGATGTATTGGTACCCCCTCTAGAAGTAATGCAACATTTAATATAATCTAAAGGATAGTACTCTAACAAATTTAATCTTTTCTTCAACTCATTGTTACAAATCGCGCACGTTCAACTACAATTTTATGTCTTCTTTCACGTTTCTGAACAATGGTTTTCCAAACAGTGCACGTAGTTTTACGGTACCGATGAAAGCGCCATATGCTATTAACACATTCAATATACCTTTCCTCTGCAATCATGCTGTACCATTACATCATAAACTACTTCCTCGATACGCTCTTTGTTCAAACAACCAGCAGTGTATCGCACGAGTCGAGTATAGCTGCAGTATAGCACTTTAATGGCAAAGCTAACATTTCACAGAATATGATACGCCGATATGTTCCTCCCCCTCAGACCGATACATTACTAGAGTGCCGCGTGTTTCAATTAGCGGACGTTCTGTAGCCCTGCTAAGGAAACACTGTGAACAAAGCGTTGTTTGCTCTGCTTGGGAATGAAAGAGACGTATTTAGATAGCGGTGCCAAGCGTTGTTTTCTTCGATGTCTGGTCAAGTGTGCAGAATCTGACACCCACAATTAGAAAGCAAACACTTTTTCAAACAAAACTGTTCGGTTTGTTTCGGCCAAAACATTAGATACTAAAACTGATATTTGTAACGTTAATATAGTTTCCGTGTTTGTGCAGTTAATGTCAACTAGATTCTAACGACTTTTGGATCTTAAAGTAATGATTTTATATTAGAAAAACATAGTTTTATACGGTTTAGTATTTTAACCTATCACAACTGTGCCCTAGATTCTAACCAGTAACGTTGGTATAATGTTGATATTTTTGTTAAAGGTGTTTATGTGTTAAAGGTCACCAAAAACAATGTTTTATATTGAGCAGTACAATAGAATTGACACATTAAATCTCAGCTTTGTGTTGAACTTGACACTCAAGTAAAAAAAGATGGACATTTTTTTTCCATGATAACGTATGTCGTAACGAGTGACAAATGTTCCAAAACTATCTCACAAAATCACCCTAGCTATAGTGTGTTTTGTTTATTTGATGAGACAACAAAACAGCTTAAGATGTTTTGAACACAAATACCTGATTCGGGGGGCAACGTGTACTGTGCTATAGCAGACTGGGAAATCTCTCAAAACCACGTTAACATTTCCATGTTACCAAACACGATTCCTTAGGCCCAGCAATAAATGCAAAGGTCGCTCCTTGCTCTCTCACATTTGAAAACCGATTCTCCAGAAATCTCATATGTAACACAGGGGTCTTACATAATACCTGTATTTCGTTTCTACGTGCGGTGGTGCCTAGCGTTTATTTAGATGCAGTGACGAAGCTTGAGGGGCGCCTTGTACTATATAGGAAAGTGTTTGCAGACATTGTGTAAGACCGGTAGTTCCACTTAGAATATATGGCTCCGTTTTTGTGGTAAAAGCTTCAACGAGGTTATGCCCGCTAATAAAACGTACCTACAAGTTTTTCTGTCATGCGACAGCTGAATTTTGTACGACACAACCACAACTGTCCTACGAATGTCTCCAATTTGCTATTGTAAATCTGTCGTGCGACGTTCTAACAGTAGAGCCGGCCTTAAAGAGATATCGCCCGTACCAATTGCAATAGTTGCCGATAGGCTTGGAGAGTTGTACACGTATTTGACACGTATGGAGAGGGAGCCTGTCATCGACACCTGTTACCTAGTCATGGTTCACCGGCGATGGAGACAGGGGCCCTGAATTCACCAAAATAATCAAACATTCTACAACCACATCTACGTGTCAGGTAGACAGGAATTAGACCAATTTGTGTCCACCTGTCCAAGCAATAAAATCATCATTTAACTCATGAGAACACAAATGTTATCGGTATTTCCGTGGTCTCCACGTCGGTAGCTAGGTTTTACTTTACATTTGCATTATTGTTTAAACCCCCTGTCACGATTGTCGTCAGACAGGTTCACGACAGCAAATTGAGGACATTCTAGGCACAACCGTGGGTATGTCGTGCACAATTTAGCTGTCTTGTGACGCTTAAGGGTTTATCAGATCCTTATCGATGGTCGATTTGTCAGTCTTGCTGAAAAATCGTGCGAATCAAAAAAATCGTACGACATTTATGTCTGCGTCTTATAAGCTTATACCACTGCTCTCCCACATAAAGGGCACGGGGTTATCATCCAGGCATTTACCCAAAGAATTAAAAATCATAACATGCCACTCAGGGTCTTAAGCCTTGGTTTTTCTGTCATGACAAATGGTCTATAATGCCAGGCATATAATTACGGAATGCCTGAGGGTCCGTGCAAAACAAACTCGGCATGCAACGTTATGCTTGAAATGTTTGGTATGAAAACAGCAGGATTTAGACAAGAGGAGAGAAGTCTTCACGATTGAAAAAATGGCGGAGAAATACTTACCCATGCTCCAACCGAGCCGCCGGTCGCCATGGCTTCCACGGGGAGACTAAAGCCGGGTTAAAAACGAGTCCTAAGTCATGAAGTCAACCCGGGCTGCTGGTCCAACCCGCGCGCTACCGGATCCAGGCGTTACCATGGAGAGACGTAAACACATCGCCGTCTCCATTCGCCTGGGGGACAAAGCTGGTGACTTCGTAGTCGGGTTACCGACTCGGCGAATCAAGAGTCCTCTAAAACCTCTAACCCAATCTAGCTTGTAACACTTAGGCAAACATTTGCTCAGGGAAAATTGAAGTGACACCTTGCTTAAGTTGCGTCGCTGTACAATAGGAAAGAGGGAATGGACGACGTGTAAGAAATGTCTAAAGTTACAGCGCGGAAAATTAAGTGTTTGGTTTCGACTTTTGTGAGAACAATGACGAGCACCAGCTGCTTAGTTTGGGGTGACAACTCCGGACGGCCTGTTCCCTAAGGGTGTCACATATACTGCGTGATTATACACGAGTGCATATTTTATAGTCATATACTGTACTTCTACATTGACGAACTTGAACGTTGCCTAACAAACAGGTGTCAGCTTAATGTTCTAACAGAAAAGACTCATCTATCAAAGTGACAGCGTTGGTTTGCGCCCACGACAAACAGCTGAACAACCATGTGGTTGGTATGAAATCCATGGTTTAAGTCCTCATTTCAGGGGTTTAGACCTTGAAAATCAGCTTTCAACGGCTGAAGGAACTACCCATATGTTTGAACGATTGATAAATGAAAAGGGTATTGGTAACTGATTCGTCTAAATGTTTACGTGGAAGAGTAACCGTGGGCTACTGGTCACTTGTGGAGCACAAAAACATATAAGCATCCTAAAAACATTAAGGTGGGAGCCTGTTCCATAAAGTATTTGAGCACCACAAATGTCCAATTTCTTCTTAATTTTCAGGTCAACACTGATAGAAAGATCCCTGATCAATGAATAAAAATCCTGATTTCCATTTCTAAGCCTAAGCCTGGTAAGTGGTACTTTTGTGACATCTGACACTATTTTTTCTTAATTTCTAAGGCTAAAGCAGCTCTGAGATTGAATCACTTTCCTAGCACAAAGCCCCTTAATTTTCCTATTTAGAATAACTAACAGGGTAGAGATAGTGGCTGAATACCTAATCAATAGAATCTTGGAAGACTGTACACACTCACTGGAGTGGCTAAAAACATCCTGAAGTGCCTATCTTCATTGTAGTGGACCAGAATAAAACCACTTTTGGATCATACTTGTTCATAATTACAACAAGTTTCAGATAGTAAAACCTTTTGTTTTGCCCTTGTTCACCATGTGAAAATGTACCAGGATACTCAACCCTAGCCAAACCTACACAGAGGTTTGGAGACTGGCACGCAGGTGTTGTGTGGGCAGATCATAGCGTATTCAGGCTATGACTGGCCCTCACTATATATATGACACACAACTTGTTCTTTCTCTTACTATCCTCCCTTCAAACATCTTCATGAGAAATGAGAAAGGAAAACACTAATCCAGAATGGAAAAGAGATAGCACTTGAATCAATGATATATGTATTCACAGTGGCATTGATAAACATTTATTCATAATATTTCATGAGTTTACATGGTAATATAGGTATTTTATGATGAACATTCAGAGAAAACCATAATTTTCACTTCTGAATATGACAGTCAGAGAGAATTCGAAAATGTCCAGTCAGAGGATGATTAACCTTCAGCCTACCAAGGTAGCCATTTGGCAGCATGGTGAGGGTTAAAATGTAATAAGACGACAAAACAGGATAACCATTTAAACACCAGCATTTTCTATCATGCTTGGACCACATTTACATATTCTACCTTTTAGTACATTTGTTAACAATCTTCTACTTTTTTTTAACATGAAAGTGGTAAATTGATCAATCTGTTGAAGTCTTTACACATGTAGTATACTTGTTGTGTACTGTTGCCTGAGACAGTTAGAGACTATTATGGGCTGTTTCAGGGCCATTTCCACTGGCCCTCGGGCGCTTCTGACACCAGCGGTTCCCACGCTTTCCAGTCCGCCATCTTTCTAGCTAGTGACAGCTCTGCTTCAGCCTGGAAATGGGAGGAAGAAGAAGGGAAAAAAAAATTATTTTTGTGAACGTTTTTTGTAATTTCTCTCTCTCTCTCTCTCTCTCTCTCTCTCTCTCTCTCCCTCCACACATACACACACACACACACACACAGTCACAAACACACACACACACACACACAAAGTGTAATTTTGTTCTCATATATATGCACAAACAAACAAGCACAAAGCACTATTTGCTCTCTGTCTGAATACTGTACTTTCAAAGTCTCCAGAAAAACAGTGTTTTACCTGAATGATAACCTGCTCAATCTGACCACAGTTGATTTTCTGTTCTAGTTCAGCAACATTGGGAACCTGGGAACAGAAAAGTTGAAACAGATACAAATTATACATACATACAAACATGCTGAGTTGAGTTACAATATACTATGAAACCTTCATGTACATCACAAACAATACTAGTATATGGAAAAGATGATCTGATGACTTACCGTTTTGACCAGATCGAATCTGTCATTGATGATGCCCTCAGTATGTTGTCTGTAGGCTGCATCCTTTGGCAGTTTCTCCAGGGCAGCTAAGGTCTTGGTGTACAGGACACGTAAAGCCTATAGGAGCACAGGTTAACTTATGATTTACTATTACATTGTAGGTACATGTATAACCTACTAAAAAATTAGCCTGCAGTTCAAACTCAATTTCCTAGGTAGCGCTGCAACTCATGTTAAAACTTCAAGTTGTGTCTTATCTTGAACAATACTGTTAAGACTAATACTAGTAATAGGTTCGCCTGCTTTACGATATGGATGAAATTGGGTCCCACTTAGCTTTTCAGAATGAGATGTAAATAGTAAAGCCAATGTTTCCGTGTGTTAGGGAGCCATGGATGTAAAAAATTATGTACTCAACGACATATAAAAAGGAACCTAACAGTACACATTTATGACCCACTGAGCCTTGCTGAAAAATGCAAGCCATAACAAATTTGCATTGCACAATTTACAAACTAATTGCACTTGAAAAATCATGCCTCACCTCAGTTAAGGATTACTTTTTTTTCAATTTCTACTACTTTGTATTATTCTCAGTTCTAACACACCTGTCGCAGTAAAAGAAGTAGATTCTAGAGACTCACCAAGTGAGGATCCTTGGCAACTGCCATGCCAGTCAGGCCGGTAGTAGCCTGGAGTCGACAAAATACATGTGTATAATCTTTCAACAAACCCCAGTTATTAGTTTAAATAAGTCATACATGTATTCAATAATTTATTCATATGCTGTTGTTGCTGTCCTTGTTTTACGCCTAGTATTACAGTAGATGTGGTCTCTATGTGCT